GCTGAAGAAGGGTCTTTACCAGATTTTAAGATGGGTATAATAATATGAGTTTTCCAATCATCAGGAATGGAACCGGTTGTAAAAGCATAGTTAATGATGTTTAAAAAGAACTGCTTACACTTAGCACCCATATTAATTAGAAATGAGTAGGGGATACCATCAATGCCGGGAGCGGAATCCTTTAGGTGCCTAAGTACTAAATGCAGTTCAGCTATTGAGAATGGTTCATTAAGGTTATTAAAAGAGTTAGATGAATGAGGAGGGAATGATTTAGAGTTAGGAAATATCTCTTCTTCCAATGGAACCCAGGGAGAGTCAGTCTGTTACTGAAGTTGTCTAGCCAGATCCAGATGGAAGGGTCTACACAAGGGGGATTACTATAATTTAAAGCACCAAGGAAGCACCTGATACTTTTTAAAACAAGAGAAGAACGTGATCGGGGAGATAGGCTCTCACATAATGAAAGCCATCCTTTTTTTTCTTTTCGGAAGAAGTTTTTTGGTCTGAGCAGCTATTTTTTGATAATCTAGAAAATTTTCCCTGGTCATATTAGAGGAATATAGCCTTTCGTTTTCTAATTATTGAGGAGCAGTCTGCATCCCACCATGGAGGTGAAGAATTTTTTTTTGTGGAGGAATTCTTCAAAGGGAAAATTTTGCAGGCTATATTAGGTTATTGATATCAAGTTCTGATTCTGAGGAAAATACATTCCAATCAGCTTCAGACAGGTTGAATTTGAAAAGGGGAGATATATTTCGAGTAGGGACACGTCTATTACTTAGGTTTAAGAGGATGGGAAAATGATCACTACCAAAAGAGGAAGGAAGTTTTCCATGATATGCTAGCAGCCAAGATTGGAGAGCACAAGGACAAGTCTACTGCGGATCTAGTATTCTGCGAAGGGTAGGACATTCTGATGGGAGAACCATCATTTAGAAGACAAAGATTAAATTCATTGAAGACATCAAGTAGCAAATAAGAAAAAGAGTCAGATTTATGGGACACACATAGCATGATGGCTGTTGAAGTCTCCTAGAACAATGTAAGGTGGGGAAATGCTTGATAGAATTGAGTTCTGGAATACAAGAAGGAGTGGGAGCTGGAATGGATAGAATTGTGATGTCCAAAGCCTTAACAGCTACTGCATTAATATTGCCTAGTATAGGAGGAAGCTGGATAGGTGATAAAGGAATGGTCCTGTTTAGTAGAATCAGAGCACTGCCATAGCCGTCACTCCTATCACTACGATAACAGGAGAAGCTTGGAATTCTAAATGTGGACCCTGGCTTAAGCCAGGTTTCCGATATTGCAAGTATTGAAGGATTATAAGAGTTAATTAAGTGAATTGTATCAGGTTTCTTATTCCTGATGCTCCGACAATTCCACTGGAGGAGGGTTAGGGACTCGAACTTCATATATTCTGGAGAAGAGGACATCTAATTTGTTTTTCACGTTGAACGGTAAATAGGACTCATCAAATTTGCCAACAATAACTGTAAGGGAGGCCACAAGATTTTCTAGGAGATTATCATTAGAGGATTATTACATTGTTTTGTAAAGCATGTCCATTGGGGAGAGATGAGGAAGGAGTGCTTGTAATGTTATGATGTGAAACTTTATCATAACCTACTGAAGATTGCGCTGGGATAGATTTGGCTTTATATATGGTTTTCCTATAGGATTAGGAAGGAGATGGAAAAGTAGGAATGTTTATAGGTGCCTGAGTAGAGGGGAGATGGCTTGCAGGGACTTGTGAGGATGCAACATCAGAATGAGGTCTTCTGACAGCTGGGAAACGAGCAGAAGCTTCAAGGTGTGACACATTCTCTTGCGACATTACTATCTTGATAGCTTTTTGCCTTGAGTGTTCAGGGCAGCTTTTTTCAATGGCCTAATGGTTTGCAGAGCAGAAAAGGCAGGTTGGGGAATCTGTGGGACAATTTTCTCCAGTATGCTCTTTGCTGCATTTAAAGCAGCGTGGCTTGGATCGACATTGAGCGTTGACATGACCGAAACGGCAGCATTTAAGACACTGGATGGTAGGGAGAAGGTAAGTCTCTACAGGTATTGATGCATAAAAGCAGTATATATGGGAGGGGAGCACTTGTCCAGAGAAGGTTAGGACAACAGTTTGAGTAGGGACCCACTCTACTTCATCGCCCTTCTTGACCTTTCTATTAAGTCTTCTGGCTTTAATGATTTCCCCTCTGCCAGGAGGGAGCTCAGATTCGCAAACTAATTCCTCCATAGAGATGTCAGTTGGGATACCCCTAATCACACCCATACGAGTAGTAACATTAAAAGTTGGAATGACAGCAGAAAGTTTATATTACGAGAGAAACTGAGAGTCAATAAAATTATTAGCATCAGTAGCTATTTTAAAAGCAATTGAAACTCTATTACGCCCTAAGATTTTGATGTCCTGTTTTTCAATATTGGCTACTTTATTTTGTGATAGGATATGGCCAATTTTCACAAATTTCAACCTGCTGTTGGATCAGGAATAACGAAGGGGCCCTTATCGCTATTTACATACTTTTTTTTTCTTGTAATTCAGGGTGGACGAATGTATTTTGATAGGAGGCCGAAGGGTGATCTTCGTGCCCTATTTTTTCTTTGGGAAGCTGGGTAGAGGATCCGTAAGTTTACGTTTGACAGAGCTAGAATCACCGCATAAATCCGGTGGTTCAGCGTCTCTCCTCTCAACTAACAAACAGAACACACAGAGACAACACAAAGAAAATTGAGAAAGTTTACGCAAATTTAAATCGAAAAAGAGTTAAAAACTTATTTCAGTACAAAAACAACGTGTAACCACCAATCACTCTGACAGTAGAATCCGAATTTTCATTCATTGAATCGCCTAGAGCCTTGAACGCAGGGATTGAATACCGGTACCAATTTCGGTTCTGGTTCTTCATTTAGGTTCTAATACTCTCTTTTCTGTACGGTTCCAGTTCCGGTATCGGTTCCGATGTACCGGTTCCGAGAAACTTTAATAAAATTTTTCCAAATCCGTAGATTGGTATAAAAATTCCGTATATGCTATTTCAAAAGATCCTTTTTATTTGATTAGATTAGATTATTAGATTGATTATACTAAAAAAATACGTTACAAACTTGATTATAACGACTTATTAACATAGATTTTATTTTATGGTTTTTGTTAGTTTATTTGATATATTAGGGTGTTTCAGACTCGGGTCATTTATGTAACAATGAAAAACTATACAACTAAAAACTGAGAAATTCGAAAAAAAAAGATCGTGGAAAAGCGAAGCCTTATCGGCAGAATTTTTTGAATAATTGTAAAAACAATTAGGACAGCATGGATTAGAAAACTTTGAGACATAAGTGATAATTCAATCATCTATAAAAATTATAAGCGCTTATATTAACTGCCTATTTTCCAAGAAGTGTTCTAAATTCGAAATAAACGTAATTTAATGCAAAATATCTGAGCTATTAAAATTTGAAATCGATTAACCTCACAAAAATTTGATATTTTGTGAGCAAAAATGGTTTCAAAAATTTTAATACAGATAGCATAGAATTAATTAAATATAATTTAATACATACAACATAGAAGAGAGAGAATGACATTGTCGGTAAGTTTACACTCATGATTAAAAAAATCTTGAGTTTATAAATATTCCGTAGATTGCGACCTCAAATTCCGTAGATCTACCGAAAAACCCGTAGAATTGGCAACGCTGCGTTGATATGCAACAGAAGATCCTCCAATACAAGTGATGTTTTACAAACACCCCACTCCTCCACCCGACCGCACCTCAAAAAAGTTTTGACTCGCTTTCACTTTGCTTAGGAACCGGTAAAATAAAGGTTCTAATTCAGGTTCTGGTTTCTGTTCCGGTATAGGTACCGAAACCCCTAAATACCGGTATTTTGGAACCGTTTTGAATCCCTGCTTGAACGTGATTTAGTGAAGGTACCGTGTGCAGGAAAAGTAAGATAGTTACGATTTATCATTTTTAATTTTTGTAAACAGAAAATCAAGACAGTTTGGTACGATAATGTCTTCTCTAATTATTGTTTACACTGTGTGTACCGTGTGCAGATAAGGTTGGAATTTTGACAAGTTGGATAGTGAGGTGTAGTTACGATTTATCTTTAATTTTGGTAAACAGAGAACCAAAACAGTTTGTAGGATAATATTATCATCTCTAATTATTGTTTACACTGTGAAGTGACATATTAAGCAATCTGAATTCTGAATATCAATATACGGCAAGAATTGAGCCTTGTTGATTCCAGTGTTATTCGTGGTGTTATATACACTGTAATGGTAACTTTTGGTGTAAGTTGACACATGATGTTCACCCAAACACATTAAAGCAGCGAGGTGAATTTTGCCAGACATGGTCCAGCAGTATGACACAAATTCAGGACATTCTGATAACCATAAAATGTCATTTTCATCTTTTTTCATCTACAGAAATATTCAACATACGAAAATAAAACCACAAATTATCACAATAAAAAAATGTATTTTCTATATAACATAACATCGGGCCATAACCGTAGAACGAAACGACTGTATATTACATTTTTGTATAATTATGTGTATATAGGCTTTACATGGCGTTTTATAACAGCGATCGAATGCATAAAGCTTCCCATGTAAAGTACCGAAAGAAATCAGACCTTAAAAACAACGGCATAGAGTTGAATTTATGCATTCGATTGCGTCAAGTACCCGGCATCTAAACAAATGATATGACAAAGCAGAGACGTCACAAACATATCAGTAGCTAGCATTAGTAACATGATGTATATGGTTTACTAATAAAATTAGTTCATTGAGCACTTAAAAATATCACAAAATATATAATATACCTCTTTCCATAATGGAAGCTCTATTTGGAGAATGATCGAAAATAGTGAGTGTATTAAAACGAAATTTAACTTAAAAGCAATGAGAATAGGGTTGAGTTTAGAAACCAGGTAAGAATAACGCCATAATTATTATAGCGGATGATCTACATAAAATCATCGTACTCATCGTCGAAGTTGCCGTACGCGTCGTATTGGTTTAGATGAGCCTGTAATAAAAAAAGTTTGTTTACAAACCATACCATTACCATTAAAAATTATTATAATAATACATGAACAATGTAATTGTAGAATTTGTAGCATTGCTATATTAAATTATTAATAAAAATAAATAAAAGGAGAATGAAACAAGTCATTCGAAAGCCGTTAAGGGTTTAAAATAATGTGAATATTCATACGATTTTTTCATACAAAACGCTTTAACTAATTAAATGATGGCATTGCGATCAGACGCGATACTAGTGAAAATAAATTTATTAAAAAAGATAGTAAAGGCCCTCCCTGCATCAGCCGCTACCGTACCGTCTATTGGCACGGTTCTCAAGTCGTGGGCGAAAGTATTACCACATATGTACGTATGAGTACATTCGCAAATGATATTACTTAGCCTGATTTACCACGCTCAAAATATTCTTACTAAATAACATAATAAAGAAGTATTGTTTACAATGTTATTCATTTTGTTTAGATTAATAAATTATAAATATAAAAAAGTATACATTTTGAGCAGGTTCTCAATTCAACTGTAAGTTTTATTTCTTGTATTTTATGTTTGTCTTGCAGTCAGTTGTTGACGGCTCCGTGGTGCAGTGGCTTAGCAATCAGTTGTTGCGCTGGGGGCCGCGGGTTCGAATCCCGCACGGAACAAGTATGGCCTACAAATAATTGTTCCGGGTCTGGATGTTTGTCCTTGTGCAATTTATGTTTGTAAACTGCCTCCACGACATAGGAGAAAATCCTAGTGTCGGGGTAAGGTTTTTCAAAAAAAAAATGGTTGTGAATCAATTTTGATGATTATTTTTTATCACAATAGGTTACACTCCAGAGGTAGTAACATATAAATTTGGATAAATAAATTTCATACCTAAGGGTGGAAAAAGAAGGGATGAAGTTTATAATGTTCCTTTTAAATCTATTTAGACTGTTTGAAACATATTTAGTCTAGTTAGAAATTAAAGCCTAAAACTAGCAATTCAATAGTCAATTGTCACACAAAATCATTGTCTACCACTTTTAAATAAATTTACTACAGGACCACTTAGAGGCCTATGTCCACAATTGATTTTCCAAGAATACATCAGCTAGCATATATTATTTAAAAAAATAACCATCTTCACCACACAAGGCAGTGGGCACTAGTTATTGCAGAGCAGATACCATCAGATAGACCTGACTTGCAAGCACTAGTCTGTAGAATTTATGCTTTACTTTTTTGTTTCCTTCTTTTTGAGTAAGGGCAATAAATGAGCACAAAATCTGCCTGATGGTAAGTGGGTGCCTTGACTTATAGACATCTTCATTTGTTCTTGATTACAGAAAAAAATATGGTCGTATATTGAAAGAAATAATTAATAAAGGAATATTGAATATGCATGTGTTATTTGTACTGTAAGTACATACATTTACAGGGAATTTGGTTGTAACTCCAGTTATAAAAAAAAACATATGTCTTCCATTCTCATAACATATACATAGGAAACAGCAACATTATGTTAGTATTTAGTGCAAGCATGGTCCCAATCTAACCGACCAAATGTGTGCTGGCTGCAGCATTTTAAATGCATATTGCATATTATTGCATAAGTGCTTGTAATACACTGTAGCAATAGCTCTACCACCCTTTTACCTCTATTCAGTGTGATGTTAAAACTTTCACTGTCCGATTTTCAGATAGAATAGTAAGATGATTGTAATGAACTATAATATGTAGCACACGGTTCAAACTAGTGACACTATGTGTAGAATGTTGTTGGTGTTGACATGAATTTTACTCACAATACATTGGCTTTAATTTATGTATACTTTACAGAATACACAAATTAAAAATATAAGTTACTAGCGATCCAACTCTGCTTCGCACGGTTGATTTCTGAATATCGACAACAACAATGTCACCTACCAGATCCAATTGTAAATCTAAACCATTCTCTAATCAACTGAACCAAAACACACTAAATTTCATCAAAATTGGTCCAGCTGTTTAGGGAGTTCAGTAACATACATCCAGACACAAGAATTCTACAATATGCATGTATTACACATAAAAACCTCCATTGCGTAGTTTAATAGATCTAAGCGTACAGACGATGGGAAGCGACTGTTTTATACTATGTAGAGATAATGTTTGGTTAGTTAGTCTCATAGTGACAATGTAAGCTTCTTCATACCATCCCATGGGTCTTGTAAGAGGCAACAGAAAGAAATCAAACAGGAGATGGGCACCATCATCCTCTTGATAAAAATCCAAAATGACTGTAATTGATAACCCAGTCCAGTGTGACAATCGACAAATATCCCCTCTATGGGGCAATTCATTGGGGAGTCATATGTTTAGCAGTGGTTTTTTTATAGGCTACAATGAAAAAAAAAAACAAGAGAATGTTTAAAATAATAAGACACTCACATTATCGCCCTCGACTTTTAATTTAGCTTTGCCCTTGCCCTTGTTTGCCTTCTTTGCCTTGTCATTCTTCTCAGCTTTTTGCTTCTCAATGTATAGGTTGTCGACAGTCATCTTTATCCTCTTGATGTCGGCTGATGTCACTGGAATTGCAAAAAAAAAATTAGATAATAGGTGTATTTACAACAATACAGGGTTATTTTGCAATATCCATTCAAATTTGCAAAGAAGGTTCAGAATAAGTAATATAGGCAAATGGTGAAGATTAATTAATTAAAAAAATCTCAATGTCCTTTTTATCTTTTAAATTCTAAATGTGTGGTAATGCATTATTTTAACTGATTTTACTGCGCACGTACACATTCATAAGGGTCAATCGGTAGCCAAAAATGTTGTTGCCAATAAATCACATTCAATTTGGGATAATTTCAAATAAAAGTAGATTATTTACTCGTATTTTCTAAAACTGCAATAACGATATATCATTATTTATTTGAACTCTAGTTTACAATTTGGCTACTCTTTGAAAAATAACCCTGTATATGTGTAATATAATATTACCATCTTTTTTTTATAACTATGTCAAACTGGCTTGCAGTACACTTAATGGCGAGTGGTAAAGTTGACACTTTAAGTATACTGCTTAAGAATATTCAAATAAATTACTCATACTGCATATTATATTATCTATACATTCATATAAAAAAGTTGCTGTCTGTAGTATCAAAATTATGTAGTATGAACAGCCTTCTATTAAGTCTCAATGGATTACATGCTATTAACACATGATTACACTAAACTGAATAAATGATGACACTAAAAACACGGAGAGCATGTTTTAAAGGATGATGGAAAGGATTCTTTTGTGAAATCATAAACTTGTCATAAGACCACTATTATATATTTGCAGGTATTTTTTTTTTATTTGAGACAAGTAAAAGTAAGACAAAGTTGCAGGTAAAAGTGATATAATAATAATACTTATTCAATAGGAATTGTAACTATATTTACTTCAGTGTTATGGTAAATAAGCATTATTATTTGTGTACTTCAGAGCTTGAAGGAGTAACCTACATTCTATTTCTACTTACTTTGAACAACGATGGTTTTGACAAGCTCATCAACAAATCCTGGAAATTCTTCCTTGCTTTTGTATATATTGATTTTCTTGCAGAGCAGCTCTGCAAATTCTGTAAACTCCTCTTTATTTGTGGGATGGAAACTGTCCAGTCTGCCGCCACCGGTTTCAGATACACCTGCAAACAAAATTATTGTTATTAAATGTTATTAATACATGGTTGCATAGGTTTTCCTGAACTGGGAAGACCATACGTGGATTATCAGATTGGCAATAGCATATAAATATATAAAGGATTAATGGTGATGATATCTGTTTGAAATTCGGACATTGCTAAAACTTCTAAATATAGTCAGTGGAACTATCAATTGAGCAGATGTGAAGTTGTCTAACTGCTTGCTTCATCTTTAGTAATGCGTACGGCAAAGAAATTGAAACTATTTTTCTGTCACGCTTTCACTAAGACAGTGTTATTTACCTTCTAGGGCTTCAACACCAGTTACCATTAGGTGGGTTTGTTGTCTAGGAGTGTATATAAGTTATAAAAACATACTCCTTTCCTCAAAAGAACAAAGAGATTCAGCTTTTTGACACACACACACATCTTCTTGAACAGCTCGTACAAGTTTACAACATACTACATATGTATCTAAAACCATGTTGTTGGTTGCAAATGATTTTAAAAGCATGTATGCGTAAAAGCGTATTCTTACAATAAACTGAGCATGGTTAGCTTAATATCTGCGTAATTTGAAATGTAATGCTAAATCTATCTTTCCTAGATGATAAACCAAAAGATAAGATTAGAGGTAGGCTAAGATGCAGTATCGGAGACAAAGAATACAACTAAACTTGAAAACAATTTCTTTTTTCAAAGGATAGGGGTGACAAACAAGCACACAGTCCACCTGATGGTAAGTGGTTGCTGTGGCCCATAGACATCTATATCTATCCTCGATTACGAATCAAAATGCAGATGCGTTGCCACCCGTGAGGACTAAAATGGAATGCCTCGTTTCCAGTAAATAGGGTCTCCAGTTCTCTACACTCACCATACAAAACACAACAGTGTTAAGCTTCAATAAGTTCTTCTTCTTTCTTTTTTATGGCGGTTTTGATCATTCGCCAATGTCAGCGTGAAAGCGTTTATTGAGTAGAAGCTCAGTAGTTACAAATACTATGCCCATATACAAGAGAAGATTGTGATAGTACAAGTATCTTTTTTCCTTTAAACCAATTTTTTCCCCTTTTATCTTGTAGTACTAATGGTTATACTGTTGAATTACCTAGAACAAATGACAAACACGGTTGCTATAACTACATTAGTATGTTAGTATTGACAAACATTAAACTTTTATACCATTAGTGTTAATAAAATCACACAGAATATATACATAAGGAGTGTTTGTGTAGGTTAAAAGTGAATCAAAATTTATAGGACGAGGGATGTCAGGAGGGAGATAATCATAGAGTGAACAAGATAATTTAGGACAGTTAAAAAAAATATGGTCGGAGGTTCCCTCATCCAACCCACATTCGCAGAGGGAACTATCCCTAATCCTCAGTTTGGCCAAATGTACTGGTGTACAAGCGTGGCCAATTCTAAGTCTACAAATAGTTGATGTAGAATGTTTATTAGCTTTATTGAATTTGAAAAACCATGGTTTTGGAAGGATGGCACATTGTATAGCAGCATAGTGTTTACCTTTTATATTTTGAGTGGCTTTCCATAATGTATTCCAATTATTATTTAACTTCTTCTTTGCAAGTAACACTATGTCTGAGGAGTAAGTTAAATTACATGGCAAACCATTTCGACTGGCATTTTTAGCCATCAGATCAGCTGTTTCATTGCCCTTGATGCCACTATGACCTGGAATCCAAGCTAAGGAAACCTGTATGCCCTTGAGATGACATCTATACAATGTGTGTTTAATTTTGAGGATCAAGGGTATCTTATATTTACTTTGGAATTGGTTTGACAAAATTGCTAACAAACAACTTTTGGAGTCGGTAAGAATAACTGACTTATTTAAGTTGTGTGCTTCTATATATATTAAAGCTTCATGAATTGCCGTGGCCTCGCCAGTAAAAGTGGAAGAAATAGAAGGGCATTTAAAATTAAGAATTATTTTGAATCTGGGAATCCAAACTGCTGCTCCAGTACAACTTTTTAACAGTGGTAGAGCCAAGCGGTAGCTTTTGCTGTCGCACGGATGGGCCAGCTCGAACCGGAGTGGTACCACGACCTCACAGAATACCAGCGTGAAGTAGAGGTTTACCTCTGCGTTGCGTTTGGTGAGTGCAGGTGGCCGGAGGCCCAATTCCCCCCCCCCCCCCCATCAACATGGTAGTGGAATTAAATACAAGACTACCCCAGGAGGGTACCAGCAACCCTGGAGAATCCCTCGCTGAGCATCCACGAACAAACTACTTCACTCCTGAGCGTGGGTGCTCAGGCTGCCCCGCGTATTCTGGGGGGGGCAAAATTCCGCTCGTGACTAATGCTGCTCGGGGCAAGCGGAGCAATACATCCAAGGCGACCCCTGACACGCTATCCGTGAATTTTTGCAACATCAGGGGACTTCATTCCAACCTTAACGCTGTCCATTACCATCTAGAGACGGCGAAGCCGGCCTTGCTCTTTTTAACCGAGACTCAGGTGTCCTCTCCGGCTGATACTTCATATCTCTCCTACCCGGGGTACAAATTGGAACACTCCTTTGTGCCCCGGGCTGGAGTTTGTGTATACGTCAGAGAGGACATCTGTTTTCGACGCCTCGGCAGCCTTGAAGGTACGGACCTGTCCATCCTATGGCTGCGCGTAGACAGCGACGACCATCCCCGCGTCTACGGGTGCCTCTATAGGTCCCATAGCGGTAATGCCGACACAGACCGACTCATCGACCACGTCCAAATGGCTGCAGACTCCGTGCTACAACAGGTCCCATCCGCAGAGATCGTGATACTCGGTGATTTCAACGCCCACCACGCTGAATGGCTTGGTTCTCGTTCAACCGATCATGCGGGTAGATCTGTCTACGACTTTGCTTTGGCATATGGTCTAACACAACTGGTTACTTCGCCTACGCGGATCCCAGATGTGGAAGACCATGTACCTTCCCTGTTGGACCTTCTGCTGACCTCTCATCCGGACGGATATCAGGTCTCCGTCGATGCCCCTCTGGGCTCTTCGGACCATTGTCTGGTCCGGAGCACAGTGCCACTCACGCTCCAATCGCAGTTGCGATCTACAGCTTGCCGCCGTGTTTGGCACTATAGGTCAGCTGATTGGGACGGGATGCGGTCTTTTTTTGCATCCTACCCTTGGGGGCGGGTTTGCTTCTCGCCGGAAGATCCCAGCGTTGTTGCCGATTCTGTTGCTGATGTGGTACTTCAGGGTATGGAACTTTTTATTCCATCCTCTGTGGTGCCCATCGGAGGCAGATCCCAGCCATGGTTTGGTCGCTCCTGTAAAATAGCATCACGCTATAAGCAGGAGTGCTACCGGGCCTGGGCTGACGCATCAACGTCTCGGGATTTAAACACCAGCGCACTTAAAAAGAAGTATAATTCCGCCTCCAGGTCCTTCAAAAGCGTCATTGCCAAGGCAAGGTCTGAGCACATCGGCAGAATTGGCGAGAAGCTAGTTCGCCTTCCTTCGGGAACCCGTGCATTCTGGTCTCTCGCCAAGGCTGTCCAAGGGAACTTCTGTCAGCCATCCCTCCCATCTCTGCACAGAGAGGACGACTCACTGGCCCATGCCGCAAAAGAGAAAGCCGATCTGTTGTGCTCTCTTTTTGCGTCCAACTCGACTCTAGATGACGGGGGGAACACACCGCCGACCATCCCGCGATGTGAGTGCTCCATGCCGGATGTGCGATTTACACAGCGCTCGGTTCGCAAAGCACTCTTCTCCCTGGACGTCAGCAAGTCGAGTGGGCCCGATGGAGTCCCTCCCATTGTGCTGAAGACGTGTGCTCCGGAGTTGGCACCGGTTTTAACGCGTCTTTTCCGGTACTCCTACTCCCAAGGCGTAGTCCCGAATTCATGGAAGACAGCTTTGGTCCACCCGATCCCTAAAAAAGGCGACCGCTCAGACCCGTCCAACTACAGGCCTATCGCCATCACCTCCTTGTTCTCCAAAATAAAGGAATCCATTATAAACTGCCAGCTCATGAGGTACCTTGAGGATCACCAGCTGATCAGTGACCGTCAGTACGGTTTTCGTCGGGGTCGATCAGCAGGTGATCTTTTAGTTTACTTAACTCATAGATGGGCGGAGGCAGTAGAGTCCAAGGGGGAGGCATTGGCCGTTAGTTTGGACATAGCGAAGGCCTTCGATCGGGTCTGGCACAAGGCGCTTCTTTCGAAGCTTCCTTCCTATGGGCTTCCCGAGAAATTGTGCAAATGGATCACCAGTTTCCTTGCTGATCGGAGCATCAAGGTCGTAGTAGACGGTGCATGCTCTGATTACAAGCCTATCAACGCTGGTGTTCCACAAGGCTGCGTGCTATCACCAACGCTGTTTCTCCTGCATATCAATGATATGTTGCTAACTGGTAGCATTCATTGCTATGCAGACGACAGCACTGGGGATGCCTTATATACCGGCCGTGCCAATATTTCTCGGGAAAACGTCGCCGAGTACCGGGACAAACTTGTGTCTGAAGTCGAGTCTTTGCTTAACAAAGTCTCGGATTGGGGCCGACTAAATCTAGTCCAGTTCAATCCCCAGAAGACACAAGTTTGCGCGTTTACCGCTAAAAAGAACCCCTTTGTCGTATCTCCTCAGTTTCAAGGCACTCCCCTTGCTGCCTCAGCCAGTATCGGAATCCTTGGCGTCGACATATCGAATAGCGTGCAGTTTCGTGGTCACTTGGAAGGGAAGGCCAAATTGGCCTCTAAAAAGCTTGGCGTGCTCAGCAGAGCGAGACAGTATTTCATGCCGGCACATCGCTTGCAACTTTACAAAGCGCAAGTTCGGCCCCACATGGAATACTGTTCTCATCTCTGGGCCGGGGCACCCCAGTGCCAGCTCCTTCCACTTGACCGCATCCAGCGCAGAGCGATTCGAATCGTCGACGACCGAGTTCTTTCCGATCGGCTCGATACACTGGCACTGCGTAGAGATGTTGCATCTCTTTGCGTATTTTATCGCATCTATCACGGGGAGTGCTCTGAGGAATTGTTCGGACTAATTCCAGCCGCTCAATTTCACCATCGCACGTCGCGACAAAACTTGCGTTACCATCCATACCATCTGGATGATTGGCGGTCCACCACTGTGCGATTTAGAAGAAGTTTTCTCCCTCGCACAACTTCTTTGTGGAATCAATTACCACCAGCGAATTTTCCGAACCGATACGACTTAGGAACCTTCAAGAAAAGAGCTTACACCTTTCTAAAAGGCCGGCAACGCATCTGCAATTCCCCTGGTGTTGCGGTTGTTCATGGGCGGCGGTAGTCACTTAACATCAGGTGAGCCGCATGCTCGTTTGCCCCCTATTCTATAAAAAAAAAAAAAAAAAACAAAAACTTTCATCTGACTTTTTGGAGGCATCTGTGTATATAATAAGCCAGCCTTTCCATAAATTATCTATGACTCTACTTACTTTACTATTTGCTATAGGGCAATCTTTCTCAATACCAAGGTCGAGGTGGATATTTGGTTGGAAAATGATTGCATCATATGGGATATCAAATATGGGGCAGGACTTGAATTGTGATACTGGGTATGGTAGGTGGAGTAATGTTACCAAACTGTTGGATAAGCAGGGAGATTCTTTATGAGTCCAGTAATGTTTTGACGAAATATATTCCAAAAGGAGGTGTAGTTTAGAAATGAGAGGGTGGGAAGAGAGTTGGTAGATTTTAAAAAAGCATCGGTCCGAAAGATATTGCCTTCTTAGATAAAGGGGAGGGTCCACACATTCAACTTGGAGAGCATTTATTGGGGAAGATTTCATTGCCCCGATGATTATACGAAGGCTTTTGGATTGAATCCTGTCTAGGATCTTTAGGGAAGACTTATTGCACGGTTCCAAAACGAAACATCCATAATCTAAATGACTACGGATAAGGGCGTTGTACAGTATTTTTTGGGAGAATGGGTGGGAGCCCCACCAGACACCCGATAAAGCGCGAAGAATGTTTATATTTTTTTCACATTTTTTTGAGACATAGTTGATGTGATGAGAAAAGGCTAGTTTGGAGTCAAGAATAACTCCTAAAAATTTTACATTCTCCCTAATTGGGATAGGTTCATTATTATAGAGAATGTTGATTTCAGGGACTTGCCTATGGCGAGAGAAGATTACAACACTGCTTTTGGGAACAGACAAAGACAAACCATGATCAGTTAACCAATCCTGTAAATAAGACATTGATATATTCAAGCGAGAACATGCTGCAAGGAGGTTATCTAGGGAAATATATATAGCTATATCGTCTGCATATTGGAGGATGTTACAGAAGGAGTTAACAGAAAGTTCTAAATCATAAGTATAGATAGAATAGAGTAAAGGACTAAGTACTGAGCCTTGTGGGAGACCCTTCCATACAATTCTTGGCGGGAGTAGAGAATTTTGACTGTCAATATAAATGGATCTAGAAGAGAGAAAGTTAGAGACAAAATTTACTATCCTCACTGGAATACTCAGATTAAGCATTTTTTGCCTGAGCACAGGAAGAAGTACATTGTCATATGCAGACGAGATATCTAGGAAGACTCCAACAAGGTATTCATGTTTAGAGTAAGCTATACGAATATCAGTAACTAGAGTACTAATGCTATCCATGGTGCTTAAGCCCTTTCGGAATCCAAATTGGCTTTTTGCTAAAAGATTTTTGCTTTCAAGAAACCATTCTAAACGATTTTTTATTAGGTGTTCAAGGATTTTGGCCATGGTGCAAGAAAGAGCAATAGGGCGGTAGCTTGCGGGATCAGTGTAGGGCTTACCTGGTTTGTGAATAGGTAAGATAACTTGGGATTTCCACTCTTCAGGAGGAATACCGGACATGTAAATATAATTCAAAATAGAAAGAAGATGGGCTTTAGTAGATTCACTGCTATTAGTAATAAAAGAATAAGGGATTCCATCGATTCCTGGTGAAGAGTCTTTAAGGACATTAAGAACAGAATATAACTCCTCATAAGAGAAAGGAGAGTCAAAACTGTGTTGATAGTGCAGGGACTGTGATTGGAATACTATACATTCATTGTAAGATGGTACTGAAGGAGGAGCAAGTTTACTAGCAAAATTTTCTAGCCAATAAGTCTGATCATTAGAATTTGTGTTCATCCACATAATATATTGCATAAGGCTAGGATTCGAATCCAAATACCACAGAATAGTTTTTATTTCATAAAAGGGTGACCAAGCATACAATCTACACGATTGTAAGTCAATGCTATAACCCATGATTATAATTTTGTTTTCATAATCGCCTCTTACGACACCAAAAGGACTGGTATGAAATGGAGTGATGAATTCTCTAACACTGTCACCACACCAACTGTTGCAACTTTACAAAGCGCAAGTTCGGCCTCACATGGAATACTGTTATCATCTCTGGGCCGGGCTCCCCGAGTACCAGCTCCTTCCACTTGACCGTATCCAGCACAGAGCGGTTCGAATCGTCGACGACAGAGTTCTTTCTGATCGGCTCGATTCACTGGCGCTGCGTAGTGATGTTGCATCCCTTTGAATTTTCTATCGCATCTACCACGGGGAGTGCTCTGAGGAATTGTTCGGATTAATTCAATCCGCCGAATTTCACGAACGCACATCGCGTCAAAATTCACAATACCATCCTCACCATCTGGATGCTTGGCGGTCAACCATTGTGCGTTTTACCAGGAGTTTTCTTCTTCGTACAACTTCTCTGTGGAATTGTTTACAACCGGCTATTTTTTGGACCGATACGACTTAGGGACTTTCAAGAAAAGAGCTTACACCTTTCTAAAAGGCTGGCGACACAATTCCCCTGGTTTTGCGGTTCTTCATGGGCGGCGGTAGTCACTTACCATCAGGTGAGCCGTATGCTCATTTGCCCCCTCTTCTATAAAAGAAAAAAAAAACAACCCATAGACACCAATCCATCTTCGATTAACAATCAAAATGTAGATGTATAGTTACACCTGAGGACTAAGATCTAACTACCATTCAAAAGGAACTCCATTTCTCTTCACTTAACCACAGAATAAATAATAGTACTACATACAGAAGATGCACTCTTTTGATGTTTAATGCTTGCCGACGTTTTAATAGCCTACATAGTTATTATTAATCAGATAAATCGCGCACGCAAGCTAAACAAAACTTTATCGCTGCGCGAGAGTGTACGTATTACGTTGCATCTTTTCTCCTTACTACGTCACAACGGACTTTCCTTGATTGCTAAGGGCTGTTAATAATGAAATGGTAAGTTACTTAGGTAAAGTACCTATGCTGACTATAATCGACCATGTTATTTACTATGTTAGTTCTGTGATGCCCAACGCATGCATCTTGCAAGGCCATTCGTCGGGACTTGCGATGCTTGGTTCGTATAGGTAGATAGCGTAAAGAACAAATAAACCCGAAATACTATTCCTAACAGAAATATGATCATAATCTACCTAATTGAAAATCTTGTAGACGAAGTTTTAATTTCAGTATTTTGTGCTACTATAACTTAAAATATTTTAATTACAAAGTACAAGTATGTAAGTAGGTACTTGGGTAGTAAAGTAAATTTCAACTAAGGTTTGTAATAAAGTACTTAGGTATTACTTCTGTAGTTGAATTATTACTTAATTATTTTTTCGCTATAAGTACCTATCTAACAAAAATATTAAATAAATTTACCTTTCATTATACTTCGGTGACTCAAAAAATGATAATCTGAATCTTTTAATTCCTCATTAAGCATCCATCCCCACAACAGTTATAGTAGGAACCACGTTTTGCCATTATAATTTATCAAATAGATAGGTAATATACATATATATTATTCTTAAATCACATTAAAACTTTTTCAACTATATTATCATACAATTAAATATACTAAACACTAAACAAAAACTATTTCGACGAGTATTTCAACAAGTATTTACAAAAAATTATTTATGTAAACAGCATTAAAAAAACTTTAACATTCAATCGCCTAGAGCGCTCTAGCCCCGACTGCGATCTTCCCCTGGGGTTCTGTACATGCAGTCCTTCTCCAATTGAGACAATCATAATCATAACAATTATGTTGCAGTGGGATTAGTTATAGTCATAGAGAGTGGCCGACACAGTAAAGGACGCCTTAAATGGAAGTTTATTGACCATATTGGTGATATATTGAAAATGAGCCAATTATGTATGATATCTTGAGACATGCTGTCTTCTTAGACTTTGGACTTGCAGTTTTGGCAACTTTACTTGCAACCTCGGTTAGATTGTTACATTTGGTAAGTGATTGGTGCAAAAACCATACTCATTTGAAGTACGCAATTAAGTAATTTGATGAAAGTATCTATGTAAACCAAGGCAAAGCTGAGTAGTGCCAACGTAAGGGATTCCACTGCCCCATATTATAACCAGGGGTACTGTAAGAGGCGACAGAAGGAATCTAAAACAGGAGATGCGTGTTTATTGTGCTAAACAACTCAAGTAACAAAAACCTAAGATTGCCAACCAGCATGCCGTGTGCGACAAATATCTCATGCATATGGGGCCATCTATGGTGGAGGCCTATGTTCAGCAGAAAACTTTTCATAAGCTGTAATGAATAAAAAGTCTTTTATTTTTCTTCTACCGACAAGTATCTATGCATAGATATATAGATGTGAAAGAAGTTGCCTAAATATGTGTCTAATGATATATAATAAAATTCTTAATGACATCAAAAATTTAAATATTAATCAATTTAAATCAAAATTATTTAAGTGGCTCATTGATAGAAAAATATATGACAGACTTTATTGGCATCAAATTACTATTCTGATTCTAATTCTGAAGTGAGAGAGGTGTCAGATATGTGCTAAATGAAATCCATACTCTGCCTACTGCTTTGGGTGACAGGAGTGAGAGTTTATGTTATATAAAATTACCAAATGTTTCCAAAGCAAGCCTCAAATCTGATTCTTCTTGCAATTTCTGCTGGCGAAGCTTCTCAGCAAGTCTCTGTTCAGGGGTGAGTGCCTCCTCTGCTTTCTCTGCGGCCAGTCGCTCTGCTTTCTCTCTTTCTAAGCGCTGAAATTAAATTTATTCATAAAATGTTACAAAACAATATACTGGTGTAAGTCATCAGTTTCACTCATTTGTCACTTTAATTTAAAAAAATACAAAAGAAGTATTTTGTAAAGTATTTCAGCAGTTGGGTCCTTATCATCATCCTCATCATCCTCGCTGCCTCCATTCTAATGTGGATTGATGGACTTTACTTGTCTTCAAAATATTATATCATCTACTTATACCCTTACATATGCAATGATTTTTTATAAACAATTTTTAACACAGGTTTGAGATATAATGTCTGTACACGACATACATAAATTTATCATCTCATATTATACAAATCTGACTGCAATGACAGCTCCATGGTGCTGTGGCTTTGCAATGAGTTGCAGCGCTAAGGGCCGTGGGTAAAAATCCCACACAGAACAAATTTTCGTAAGGCTTACAAATCATTTTTCCAGTTCTGGATGTTTTTCCTTATGAAATGTATGTATATAAACTTCACAATGCAGGAGAAAATCCTACTGTGAAGGCAGTTTTCAAAGAAGAAGAATAAATAACATAAATAATAAAATCAAATGCCTTTATAAGCCCACTTTTGGACAAAGGCTGTTAATGTATTAGAAGACTATTATTGGATAGGTTAAATATGTTAATATTGTTTTAGATGGGTATTTTGCCATTAGTCACTCAAAAGAGCTTAATTAGCACCAAGCTTAAGTTTTCTTATATAAAATTGAAGTGAACAACTTACAGTTCACCTGATAAATGGCTTCTGCAGTTCACGGACACATATAACAAACTTCAAATAAAGAAGGCTACAGATGCATTGTTACCGATGAGGACTCGGACTCGGCCTCACAGCCTGTGATTATAATAACTCTCTATACCTTTCAGACTAGAAAACAGCAATGTAGAAACTGGTATTTGGCGTCAGAAATAAGTAACAAGGTGATACCTACAGACTTTTAGGCAGAAAAGGAGTCCCACCACTTTATTTTATACAGGGTTATTTTTCAAAGAGTAGCCAAATTTTAAATTTAATTTCATATATTAATATTATATGTTATTGCAGTTTTTGAAAATTTGAGTAAATAGGGCTTTTCTACTTTAATTCAAATTATCCCAAATCGAATGTCATTTATGGGCAATGTTTTTGCCTACCGATCAACCCTTACGAATGTGTGCGTGCACAGTAGAATCAGTTAAAATAATACATTTTTTTATATAAAACGTTACCCCCACACTAGGACTTTCTCCTGTGTCGTGGAGGCAGTTTACAAACATAAATTGCACGAGGACAAACATCCAGACCCGGAACAGTTATTTGTAGGCCATACAAATACTTGTTCCGTGCGGGATTTGAACCCGCGGCCCCCAGCGCAACAAGTCATTGCTAAGCTACTGTGCCACGGAGCCGTCTTAACATTTAAATTCAAAATGCATTACCATGCATTTTGAATTTAAATGTTAAAAAGGACAGAATTATTGAGATTTTCGTAATTGATTTTTCTTCACCATTGCCTATGTTACTTATTCTGAACCTTCTATGCAAATTTGGCCGATTATTGCAAAATAACCCTGTATAGATGAATGATGCATCAACTATAGCAAGATATATTTTTCAATTAACGTTGATTATCATTAAAGATTTTTTATATTTACGTGAACACTACATATTTAATTATACTTATAATATAATTAAACGCTATTTTCTTGACAATGCCTTTCCAAGCTTTTGTGAGAGCACTGCTTGCAAACAAAGTATGAGTGAATAATTAATAAATATGCTCATTATTTATTTAGCCTCCACAAAGTGGAATGAGACACAAAGTAGCTACTAGAGAAATGAGCAGTGTGAAACGTTGACATTCATAAATTGGAATATTATGATCTATATAAATAAAATGATAGAGGTTTGCAGTTGTGCATGCATTGTGGAAAACTACTGGATAGAATAGGCTTTTTACATTTTATTTCTTAGACACTTGACCCTTATATAAAAAAAAAAATTGCAATAACTTAATTTAATATATACAGTCCCTGGCCATATTATTAGACGCACTATAAGATTATATGTAAAATCTTAATTCTCAGGTTATACTATACGGCGTTATTGTTTTTACTGGATGCAATGTATATTTTTTTGTTATCCACCTTATTATCTGTTTATAACACAAATAAAACATCATAATCATATAAAAATATGTATTTATAAACTCTTGAAAAAAATTTTAATGAATGCAATAAAATGTTAATATTTTGTTGAGCCACCTTTAGCCGCTATGAGAGCTTCAATTCTGCGCGACATGCTATCAATGTTAGACTGTACTGTCTCCTGCGTTTGAGGATGATGATTCCACACATGAATAATCTTTTCTAAGAGTTGAGTTTAGTTTGTGATGACATTTTTAGCCACTTATCTCTTCATCAGCCCCCACACATTTTCAATAGGATTCATTTCGAGACTATTACCCGGTTAATCCAACAAAGGGATATTTTGCTCTTCCAAAAAAAAAAAAAACAAACAGTGCTGTGTGACAGGGAGCTCCATCTTACATAAAACTGAATGGTTTCCCATTCGAAAACCATTCTCTGAGCTGCGGAATCAATCGATTTTGTAAGACTTCTTTATACTGTTCTTGCCTCATTATATCTTTTACCACGTACAGACGTCTGGACCCTTGCCGCTGATGACTGACCAGATCATCACTTTAGTAGGGTGCTTAAGAGTCTGTACGGCACAGTCAGGATGAAATTTTTCTGCATGACGACGACGCACAAACAAAGCTTTATTCCGCAAAATTTCAAACGTGCTTTCATCGCAGAAGCAGACCTGTTAAGAATAGCAAAAATTAATAAACATCCTAAACATCTGTGCTGGTTTTTCTTTATTTCATAGAAAATGATATTAAATGTATCATTTGTGTTGAAATTATACTAACTTACCGATCTCCAGAAGTCCTCACCTTTATCACGCCACTGTTTGGCCCACTTCAGATGCTTTGTTTTCATTGCTGCTGTTAACTTGAGCTTCCTGGCGGGGCGGCAGGTCGTAAAATCTAAATCTTTTAATTTTGTTTGAACAGTGCGCTCAAAAACATCCACATTAGCATCTTTGAGTTGCGATTTTATCAGTTTTGTGCTTGAAAATCTGTTTTACAGGCAAACTTTTCTAACAACATCTTTCTGTCTTTGGAGTAAAAATAGGCTTTCTGCCGCATCATTTCTTTTGTTTCGGGCTCAATGCGTCTCCTGACTCAATTTTCTTCATTATGCGTCGTACGCTAGCTTCAGAAACCTGCAATCTCCGTGATATTTCGTGGTTAGAAAACAATTTAGCATTTACGAGGGCCCTTACTTCAGCTTTTTTTACGTGGTGAAAGATCGCCTTTTTTTACCCATGATTAAAATGTTCCAATTGATTATTTAAACACTGTACACTAAGTGAACAAACAACTGCGTAGTATAAAACTGCTAAACAAATAAATACAGCGCATAAAGCCACAGAAACACGTCCACAACTAAAGCACGCGAGAACGCTATTGAAACGGTTTTGTACTTGTTTACGTTCGTGTGTCATTTGGTTATCATTTTAATGCAATACATTTAAAATAAATTCAAATAGGGAATATATAAAACATCTCCTGAATGAAAACTCATTACATGTATATTTAAATATAAAAGTATTGCATATAAACTCGTGCACAACATATAATTATTAAAAAACTACAGTGCGTCTAATAATTTGGCCAGGGACTGTAGTTATAAGTTTTAAGAAACAACTGTTTTTATAAGCACTACATGTTCAGAGATGTGTGTAAGCAACACAGACAAAGTCATATAGTATCAACTAGTATTTAATAAAATATTATTTTGATCTTCCTTTAAGTTAAAACAAAAATTAAATTTGTTTATATATTGATTGTTTCCTCCTATGTGGTGTAATACTGTTAGAATTACTTTTATAAACTACAAATTATTGTATGCTTGTAGCAAGGCTATCCTATTAGGGGAGAAGCCCATTTCCAGGTGAATAAAGAAAAGAAGGCATGTAGTGGTGGTGTAAAACAATCAGCTAACCCATTTCACCCCATAGGTATTGTAATTGGCGAAGGAAGGAAACTGAAACAGGGGATGAGCAGCACCATCTCCCTGTTGAGGACTAATAAAAAAAATATGTAGTTGCTAACCCAAGTCTGCCAACAGTGGCAACTATGTGGAAAATATTCCCTCATGAGCAATCTTTGCGGGAGGCCTATGTTTAGCAGCGGACTTTGGATAGATTGTAAATGAGTGAATGTAGCCAGCACTACACCACTACTATGAATGAATTGAATAAAATGAATAATTTAACCTTTTTAGACTATCTAAACAAGTTATTAAAACTAAATTCTAAATAAAATGAGTAAAGTATAAAATATTATATTTTAAAATAAATTAAATAATATAATTTTAAGTTTACTTATGTATGTAAATATTTCTAATTGTGATATTTTTATATTATATTACAGTAATGCTTCAAAAATCATTATAGACACTTGACCTTGCTAAATCGAAAATTAGTTGATTATGGATAGTTTACCTCTTTTTCAGCAATTTTATCCAGTATTTTCTTTTTAGGTTTCGCAGGCGGTGGGGGTAGCTCTTTTTTCTCCTCATCTTTTTTTTCTTCTTCCTCATCCTCCCAACTTTCCTATAAATTTAGTTGACGTCAACACGTAAGCAAAATTGAGGTTAGACTTATCTATCAATTAAATTCAAAGAACTTTTACACATGCCAAAAAACAAGCTAAATAGACACTTGGCAGCTATTTTACTTACCTTGACAACCTCTTCCTCGTCCTCGCCTTCCCATTTGTTTGATGATGTCAACGTGGTCGGCAGTTTAGGCTCAAAATTTTCCGCGTCTAGAAAAAAAAAGTGATACATTGATAACGTATTTCACTAAAAATCGATTAACCTCTGCGAAAAGTTACACGCACCCCATGACATGTCTGGCTCCATGGTCGCTGAGTTTTTATTAGCACCGATCAGATTTTGTTACCTTTTCACGTGAAGGTAAAAACAGACAGAGGCAACTTGCTGGCTTTTTATCACAAGATGTCTCCAGAGTCGTCAGAATTATTTAACAATATACTCAGACAGATTTTGTCAAACGACTGTGATTTTTTTGCAATTTCCGCGACCGAATTGAAAAACAACACACATATGACATAATTTAGGCGAATATTCGTCACAATTACAATCAGAACTTGTTGTGCAAAAATTAGACTCCATTGCAGACGATAATTCCCAAATCACTAAAATTTTCAATATGGCGGACTTCGATGTTACCATAATAAAATTTATAAGATTTCCAGATTATTCTATAAAACTAGGCAGTATGAAATATGAACGTCGCGTCGTGATGTTTCACCATGAAAAATTAAAAATATAATGTTTATTTAATGTTTCTATTATTACTCAACCAAATATTAGAAATACCTTTTGACGTTTCAAATTAATCATTCCTCAACCACTTTGTACAAGCGTACTCGCAAGATTCAAAATAACCTTTTTTTCTATAGGATAAGGGTGACAAACGAGCACACAGTCCACCTGATGGTAAGTGGTTGCTGTGACCCATAGACATCTACATCTATCCTCGGTTACGAATCAAAATGCAGGTGCGTTGTTACCCGTGAGGACTAAGATGGAGTGTCTCGTTTCCAGTAAAAAGGGTCTCCGGTTCTCTACACTCACCATACGAAACACAGCAGTATTAAGCTGCTATTTTACGCTGGTATTCTGTGCGAGCGTGGTCTTTCTTCAGTCGAACCGAACCATTCGTGCTACAACTATACCAGTAATATAGCTGCAGCATGGCTCTACCACGTAATAATTTGTGGTAGTCCCAATTTAAACAGTCAGACTTGTACATTGGTGGTGAAATTGTACGAATATTTCGTGTAATTTCACCAATACGTGAACGTGAGTCACAAAACGGTGGGCCTCTTTTACCAGTGACACAAGTGTCGGTGAAGCACTCGGAATTGGCAAACGCACTGTTGCCAAGATTGAAAAAGAACAAACTCATAACTGGTATCAATCAATTCGACGCAGAAGTTGTTAGAAAACAGACATGGCTATTTCACAAGGGGCGAATATCCTGCTGCTGTGAAGCTGCAAGAAAGTTTAGTGGATTCCGGCTTGTGCAATGGTAGTATAGAGTCATTGAGAACCATTTTGAAACGCATAGGATTCTGATGCAAATATATATATATATATATATATAAACGCAAAATAATTATGGAGAAGCATGGCATAGTCATAAATATATAATAAATTTTTAATTTAGTTTCAATCTTAAATTTATACGGAGTGACGAAAAAGTTATCACATAAAATGAAAAGACGTATGCTACATAAATTTCTTTAAACATACACAACTAAAAAAATATATAACAATTAATACATTAGCCGCGGTAGCATTTTTTTCGTTTCAATATTAAATAACATCATGTAAATGCATACAGATATCACCTGATGAATTCTAGAAGCTCAAAGACCCATGCCATTTCAAGGCGAATATAGGTAGTTTAAAGGTTATCAAACCTAACTACTCAAATAAAGAAAAAATCAAACAAAAACTGCACTTACGGCTAACAATTTAAGGCATAATTTTATGCGCGAAATTAAAAACAAAGGGAACGCACGCTGCAGGCGTATGAAAACAAAGTCAAGCGAAAAATTTACTTAAAATAATGAAGTTAAGGCATAATTCTCTACGCGCAAAGTGACAAGAAATGGGATCGGGTGTTAATATAAATTATTATTTTTCTGGCGCGTGCGACGTTTTGTAAGTCACTTCAGGTCAGTAATCTATATATCAAGGCTGATTTATTTCTTGTCAATATTTTACCCTATTTATTTTGTTTGAAAAATGCATTTTTTATTTTCTTTTATTATTGTTTATTTTATTATTTTAACAGACATATATCAACTTGTATTAACTGCTGTGCTATTTGTGATACGTGATAACCTCGGCGCCACCCAGTATAACTTTGCCTCTATGCCTGCCTTGCCTAAATGTGTTTTAAATTGTCCGTTTCTAATTTATTCTGGTATTATAATCGAAATAAAACGAAACGATTACCAACTCCGAAGAATCGATATCGATGTTTCTTAAGAATCGAATAAGGTATGTACCGATTTTTTGGTTGGCATGACTAGTCCAATCAATCTAAGAGCTGTCAAAAGGTATTTCTTACATTTGGTTGGGTATAAACAAAAAAGTATGCTTTTTTTTCTATACCTACAGAGTAGTTGTAGCTTGCTTGCCATACTAGAAATTAAATTATACCGAGTGACGATGAAGTTAACACGTTAAATGAAAAGACGTATCCTACACAAAGTTCTTTAAGCATACACAAATAAAAAAATATGGAACAATTAACATTCTAGTCGCGGTAGAATTTTTTTCGTTTTAATATTAAACAACAGCATGTAAATGCATACAGATATCACCTGATGAATACTAGAAGGCGAAGATACCTAGTTCAAACGTGGCAACGTTTGAACTAGGTATCTTTATTACATTTTAATTACTCAAATAAAGTAAAAAATCAAGCAAAAATGTACTTACGATTCTTATGCGCGAAATTAAAAACAAAGTGTGTGAAAACAAATACAAGCGAAAAATTTACTTAAAAGAGATGATTTAAGGCATAATTCTCTATGCGCGAAGTGACAAGGAATGGGACGGGATTTCGGGAGAGTTTGTGTTGTCGACTCTGGCGCGTGTGACGATGAGTTAAGGTTGGGTCCCACGGCCTGCCAGGTGACAGGCCGCGCCAGATGTTTCCCCGCCTGAATGGGCCTGTCGCGGCCCGTACTGAGCATTTCCATGGCGTGTGCCAGCCTGGTGTGGCCTGTCGACTGACATTCCAACATGTTAAGTGATACTGAGCGCATGGCTGCGTGTGCAGCCTCTGCGGTTTTATTTAGTGGTGAACATTTGATAAACCAAGCAAAATGAAAGCAGAAGAAATGACGCTGGTGGGTGCCGTCATTCAACAAAAGCCGATCAAGGTTGTTCTTGTTTTTATGTTGAGGCGACGAACTATTCCAAAGCGATAAAGCGATATTTTCATAAAGATTTAAAAACTCGAATATGAGCTCGTTCGTCCACTCCATCATGAGCAGGCGCCAACGCAGTTGAAATGAACGATTGCAACCGACGCAGACGCGCCGGTTGCAATACAGGCCGCGACAGGCACCGTCGTACCGATTCGTAGTCGTACAGAGACTCCCGATGATTCGGACGGGCGACAACAAGCCACCGCAGGCTTCATCGGATGCGATGGTTCCCACGGCCTGTTGGTCTGGCCTGGCGCGGTCTGACCTGTGAGAAAGCAGGCCGTGGGACCCTAGCTTAAGAAAGTAAGTCACTTTGTCTGACGTCGGCGTCCTTGGAGATGGTTCATGAGTCGCTTGACCTAATTTTCGTATTTCGCATACACGTCCTTTCAGTTTTAATTGTTGTTTTTTTTTGGTTTTGTAGACATTTTGATAAGTTTCTTAATTTGTTTGTGATGGGACACATTAATAAAATACGCTAGATAATCATATTTAACGGGCTTTCACACCACTAAGTTATAGTGGTGTGACAGCCCGTGCGCAATTAGATGGTTTTATTTTTTAACGTATAACTTTTTTAAGTTATGAGATGCTTTGTATTAATTTCACGTCATCGGAATACATCGACATGATTTTGATTTACGTATAATGCCACCAAAACGCGACCCTGGCATTACGAACATACTGAGAGAGGTATAATACCATAGGTGTATGTGAAATTTGATTTGTTTTGATTATTAAACTTGAATGATTTCAAGATTAAAGTGATTATTAGATAAAAACAATACTATGAAATTTGTGATTTGTTGATAACATCGGATTAGCATCGCCCTACGCGTGCCTAATTACCTATGTATGGGCAAGTGTAGGTATTATAATTACCTATGTCGATATCGCGCGGCCGCGCCGTTGCCGTTTCTACAGGTCACTTCAAGTCAGTAAACTAATATTATCAAGGATGATTTATTTCGTGTAATTTTTTACTCTATTTGATTTGTTTGAAAGATGCATTTTAATTTCTTTTTATTATTGTTTATTTTATTATTTTCACAGGCTTATATCAACTTGTATTAACTGCTGTGCTATTTAACGTGATAACCAAAGCGCCACCCAGTATACAATATTCAGTAGGTATAGGTATTATTTTCCTATAACAATACTCGAATAAATAATTTCTTTTTACAATATTCCATGACATACCGACAGAGGAACATTTAATTTTACAAGTATTTTGTATATGTTAATAAAACATTTCTTTTCTACGGTAGAAGTTTGTGATAGATTTGTAATTTTTTATCTTAGGAAGGTAGATTTCATAGCTTCATAGATTTAAAGTAATTACTGTTATTACTAAAAAAGAAAATAATTGTTATTACATATCGTTCTTTTACTTGTATTTTAAAAATGGCTAAGAAAAAAATTGAAATATACATAGATGTAAATACTGAAAAAGAGTTTGATAATATACTCAACCAATATAATAAAAATCTTATTTGTAAGTATAATATTGTTATACAGATTTGTTATCTGATACTTATGTTATACGGTGTATAACATAAGTAGTCCAAGACGTTTCTACTTCTTTTATGTCTTGAATCGCATCTTAATTCCATCGTCAGTCGAAAAAGTACCTTTTTTCTCTCAGTACCTGATACTAAGTAATCGTTGTATCACATGTATCAATTCCAAGTTAAAAATGGTAGAGGTGCCTTGTCATCTCTGAGGACGAAACCATTGCCTCTTAGCATGTAATTACTCATAACATAAGATTAACCCTACTGTCTTACCATAGAAGTAACTAAGATGGTGGAACGTACCTAGGTTGAATCTTAAGCAGAAAAGAAGCTAATGAACGAACTAAACGTACTCATTAATAATGCATTTTTAATTTCGATGGTATAACGTAGGTGTGTTTTCGTGGTAGAGCCACGCTGAAAATGTATTATGGCTGCAACACGGGGGTTTCGATTTGAAAGCCGATTCGCATAGATCTCGACGAAATACACCGAAAAGTAAGAATAAAATTTTTCAATATCTTGTTTAGTATCCAAGATATCGATATCGGGAGAGCAGCCGCCGCCCGTTGTAGCAAATAGCAGGCACCTGTGTAGTGACTGAGGCTGGTCGCCAAAGGCGACCATTAAGCCAAAGCTGCGGAGAGGTGAGCATGGGTAACTGCGATTTGCTACGCAACGGCGAAGGGGCTGCAGTTCTCGCAGCGCCGATGCAGAAGCTAGCAGAAATAACTTTGGGTCAATATTCCTGTGTAAAAAAATTAATTTTTGAGTATCGATATCTCGGAAACTAAGCGAAGTATCGAAAAATTTTATTCTTACTTATCGTCGTATCTAATCGAGATCTATTCCGGACCGCTAGGACCGCCTTCGAATCGTGGCGCTGTAATAACCGCAGTCGTTCCGCAACACGAATAAGTTGCATGGATCGGGAAAGACCACGCTCTCAAAAATATTCTTTGACTAACGTTAAATAGCAGCATTGTGTTGCGCCGTAGGTATACAGTGCTGACAAATTTGCGGTCAACTTTAATCTCAAAACGGTTTTTATAGGCATTAGTTATATTATGCCTTTTTCAGGTGCCCAGATATATTGCAGTTACTTTGGTTATTGCACTGCCCTTGATCACCTTTTTATGAAAATGAAATTGGAATGGAGCGACGGGCATGCTTTACTACTCAGAGTAAGTTCTATGTTTATTAGTTATAATTACTTTAGTTGTGCCTTTATTTCTAAAATTAATCTTATAATGGCACAAATAAATTTAGATATTTGTCTTACATTTTAGCCTATGTTAGATTTTCCAAGGATGATTAATTTTTACAGCATTGTTTAAAAAACTGTTTCAACCTCCAACTAATGGTAAGTATTCATTGCAACCCATGGAGAATGAAGACCTAGAGCCGATCCCTACAGAGAAAGTTGCGATCAAAATTATTGGACTCTAGGGTGCCAGCGCACATGAGTAAAGAAACCGACCAGAGGGGAAGCTACATACAAACGTCTCGCTTCGGGTGCACCCACACATAGCGCAGCGATGTGTGCGTGAGCTCTCACCGACAGGTTCACCGACGCTCCGTCAGGGTACAAACCGGTTTGCGCCGGCTCAGTCAGAGTGTGAATAAAAGGGCTGTTAGTCACGCGCATTGAAATAAATAGACGAATAATGTTTCGTGATTTTATAGATCAATAAATCTATTAAATTTTTTTACAATTAGAGTTAAGTTTAGACATTCTGTACTATAAAATAAGACATTATAAATTTATAAGTATATATTTATATTAGATAATTAGTGTTCGTATAAGCTAAATGCCTAAGTTGTACAGTATATATGAAAAATTCGAGAGAAAATAATACAATAACCAGACAGTGGTGCAGTTAGTGTTAGTGGTAGTAGTGCTGGTGATGGTGATGGTGGACGGTGGTGCTGATCGTGCGGTGTTGGTAGCGGTGGATGGTAGTGCTGTACGTGTTGGTAATGGTGTCGGTGATTGTGGCGGTGCTGGTAGTATCATTGGTGGTGGTGGTGGTGGACAGTGGACCGCCACTGGCACTACCACCACGACCAGCATCACCACCACAGCCTTTACTACCGCCACTATCATCCTGGTAGTAACATTGGTGGTGGTGGTGTATCAACACCGCCACTGCCCACTACCATCATCACAGTCATTACTAATATGTATATATGTATAGAGATGTATAAGTAATATGAAGCTAAGCATAAAAATAAGCAAAATATACAATTTTTGCAGTTTCAATTTTAATTACAAATAACAGACATGTTATTATATTAACATAAGTTACAATGAATACACATGTTATTTTATGCAATATATTTTTGTTTTTTCCTTAAAATTTTCACTTGCATCAGGTGATAACCCTATCAGAATAGGTATAGATTTTCGACGTTGTTAGAAAGCTTCCCCTCTGGTCTTCTTTACTCTGTGGCCAGCGTATCATTATAATTTATTAACATCATATTACACTAATAATTTTATATATTTCTAATTCACTGCTCAAAATAAATTGATGACACGATTGATTGATTTATTTATTTTTCATTCAATATTCCAGGTAGCAGCCGATGAAATCGAGTCACTAAAACGATTCCGTGGTCAAAGTAATCCTATATTCCTTTTTATTTTGGTTCGTACCTTATTGCACTTTTCAACCTATCTCATACAAAATTTTGCTTAAGAAAAATCGTTAAGGTGAAAGCGCCAGGGTAACCCGCGAAATTCTAATTTACCTTCGTTTTTTGCAATTTGTAGGTCAGTATCAGGTTGTATGTTTAACAAAATATGATTCGCGACCGTAATGAGTATGTATTTATAGAATTATAATCATTATAATCATCAATGCAACCGTCTATGTTTGTATAATCCCAATGTATGGCTATTTCTAGAAAAACTCATTCAAAAGGATTATATGAACTTAGAGGGTTGTATTGGTAATTTTAATGATAATAATTCTATAAAAACATACTCGTTACGGCCGCGAATCATATTTTATTAAACATACAACCTGACCCTGACCTGAAAATTCCAAAAAACGCAAGAAAACTTGAATTTTGCGGGCCACTCTGGAGCTTTCACCTTAAGGTCTTGTATTTATACAGATTAATATAACGATGAAACTTGTTGAATAAAACTATTACTATACTAAAAACATATAACTGACGTGAGGCACCAACGCTCTGGGAAGTCTCAGGGGGCGTTCAAGTATTACGTAACGCAATTTGGGGGGGAGGGGGGTCTTATAAAACGTTATCATGCGTTACAGGGGCGGGAGGGGGTTTTCCAATAACGCGTTACGTAACGTTTTTTTTTATTACAATAAAAACTAGGAAATTAAAATCTCCCAAGTTGGCAACTCCTTTCGTTTACGTTTTACGGGGAATCCCTCGATTGTATGGTACGTCATTTTTATTCTGTCCTCCCAAGTTAGCAACCTTTTTTGTCTATGTTTTACGGGGAATCCCTCGACTGTATTGCGACTGTGTTCTCTTTTAATGCACCTGGAATACAAAGTACTTTTACCAGTGGCGGATTTACCAGCAGGCTGAGTAGGCTGGAGCCTAGGGCGGCAGATTTTAAGGGCAGCTGATTCGGGGCTAAAACTTTTCATTTTTCACTTGGTCGATAAATTTTCCTACACTTTGCATTTGGTTGTGGCGCGGAAACGAGTGACATAACCGTTCGCTAAGTGTGTTTTGATCGAAATGCCTGCCCTATGTAGTATATATATAATATCTATGGAAGTAGTAGTATATATAATATCTATGGAAATGCTGATGAATTGACTGAACGAGAGAGGCGCGGCCGCCGCGGGAGCCGCAGCAGGATCATACTGTTGAAGGCATACGCTGCGTGTTGGCATTGAGTTCGAAACACATAGATGTATTTAGTTCAAAATCAAAAGAAAAGCTGCCTCGGTTGAATCCTGGTGCGATTTCTAATACGTACTAATATTTCTCTGGCACAATTTTTTGGAAAATTACCTATTGGAAAAACGGTCTGAAGAGGGTTCTTGCCGTAGTATGATAATGCCGCAACATGTCTGGTGTGTGTACAATGGCTAAAATTCAAAGTCAAGCACCTTTTGCTTTTTTCGTTCCTTGCTCTGTCCTCTCTTAAAATTTAGTGGCAATTTCACGAACGCACATCGCGGCAGAACTTCCGATATCACCCACACCGTCTGGATGATTGGCGGTCCACCACTGTGCGATTTAGAAGATGTTTTCTTCCTCGCACAACTTCCTTGTGGAATCGATTACCATCAGCGATTTTTCCAGACTGATACGAATTAGTGACCTTCAAGAAAAGAATCTACTCCTTTTTAAAAGGCCTGCAACTGCAATTCCCCTGGTTCCCCTGGTGTTGCAGTTGTTTATGAGCGGTGGTAGTCACTTACCATCAGGTGAGCCACATGTTCGTTTGCCCCCTCAACTATAAAAAAATGCGACTGCTGAACACAGATTTTTTTTAGATTTGCACAGAAGCTTGTCGCTTCGTCAGTTCTTTGAGGCGAAGTGTAGGGCGATCCCCCACTAGATGGAGTGACGACCTGGTAGGATATGCAGGTAGTCGATGGATGCAGGTGGCTCGGGATCGTGTTTTATGGCATTCCTTGGGGGAGGCCTATGTTCAGCAGTGGACTTATGAAAGGCTGTAATCATGATGATTTGGAAAAACTCAATTTTCAGCACGCTGGAGAGACTCTTACTAAGATCTGGAGGGAAATGAAAATTGACAGCTATGATGTTTCGGCGGAATATTGAAAGCCGGAAGATAACTTGCAGAATCATCGCACAATGCAGAGAACCTAATCTGGCATGCTATAGGGCTCACGTTCGTGAATCGTAATATTTCTTACAAGTGATTTAATGCGCGGATGAATCTTGCTGTTCCCGCTGCAGGAGTGCATTGAAATCTGTCTTTCTAAATACTTTACTGCTGCCACCCTGCCCAATCCTTCAAACCCCAAGCAAGCTCATGGTACCTGGTCTGCTGGACAAATGATCATGCAAGTTTTCACCACTTCTTGTGAGGTTATTAGATGATCTGTCGCCTCCTCTAGAAGGGTTTAAGCAGATGCCTTACGATTTATTTTGCCCATCAGTACAATCTGACCTCAAGAACAGAATATGTGCAACATGTGGGATCTATTTCACATCTCACAAGAGTGTGCAAATGCACAGTCGTTACGTGCATGGCAAAACTGCCCAAGACCGTCTTAAAAATAGAGTACAGCTACAGCGACTGCTGCCAGAAGTGCAAATGAGCTTCTCTACATTGTGCGATGCTGTGAAACATCGTCTGAGTATGCCGATTGGCTTGACGAAGACGAAGTTGATGCAAGTGGTTTAACAATTCCGGAATCCGCTCCGTCTGCTCTCCGGATGCCAGTAATGAAAGAGTCTGAGTGGCCGGCAAACCCGTGGACAGAGGAATAGTAACTCCAATTAAATTGATCTTTTTTTACATACCTACGTATTTTAATTATGGCTGTTTTTATTTTAAATTTTTAGCTAAGAATACAATTTTATTTTGACTAAAATGTTTTGTTTCAGTTAGGTTTCCATTGCATTGCCAAAGGTTAAAATAAATATGTTATTTTATTTTAATAGTTTATTAGTAAAAAAAAAGCTAAAACAGGAGAATGCATGAGAAGACCTTGGTGGATTAAGCCAAAAATGTATGTGAGGAAAGGGCCAAGTCAGAAAAATGGCGTAATTAAATGTAAAGTTAGCAGTAAAAGTTTATTAGGACGGATTTAAGCCCATTTTAACATATTTAAAACTTAAGCAAATGTTTATTACATTATGTGTGATTATTTATTAAATAACAATATGAATAAATAAAATAAACAATATACGCATCTATTACTATTTTAAGAGATTTATTATCTCTTGTTTTATTTATTATTACAATAACAATGTTATTTTAGCGACTTTCCGGTACTTTCCACAACATAATTGTGACTTTTAGTTAAAAATGGTCACGTGGGTGTTACGTAACGTTTAGGGAGGGGTAGGGGGGGTCCAGATAAACGTTACGGCGCGTTACATAGGGGGGCGGGAGGGTCAAAAATCTTCAAAAATTGCGTTACGTAATACTTGAACGCCCCCTCAAGTCTGTGAACATGTTCAGGATCGTCCCCGCCATTACCACAAATTCTCGCAAAAGAACACCGATTCCTACCAAGGATTATACGCGAGGCTATTGAAATTAAAAAACATCCTAATTTCAATAGAGAAGATGGATGGGTGCTGCCACTGCTTCTTCTTGGGATTCTATAAAATTAAATCCAAATCCAAGCATACCACTGCAAGACTTCAAGATACTGTAAGCTCATTCTGTGTAGATCGAACCAAAAATTAATATTCAAAAACTGAACGTAGCCGGGCTAACTGTGACATTGGGACGTCAAACATCCCAGCCCCCCGCCCCCCGTGACTATGGGTTGGTGTAAAAAAGCACCCGAAACGTCAGGAACTAAAATAAGTAAATTAAACGCGATAAAATCCGTAAAAAAAAGTAGTTTTATTCAATGTGTATTGTTCGCGTAAATATAAGAAATCATTAGACAAACCTCGTTTCCAAAAATTAATGATACCAAAAACATTAATGTGAAAAGGGGTCAAGTTCATTACAACGTCATTATAAATGACGTTCGCGGTTGCAGGATTCGCGAATAAAAAATTTGACATATAAACGTTATACCTACCTTCTAATAAATTCCATGATTTAAGCAATTTCCTTTGTTTGGCCCCTTTTTATATTTTTAAATTAGGTAGGCTATTACGCAATCTATGGTAATTTGCACAGACTAACTAGAAAAGTGCTTTGTTGGTGATAGCAGCTTGGAAAGTTAACTTTTTTTTTTAACATTGGGAAATGCCTATGAATACCTGCCTCGCAGGGCAAGGACGGATTATGTAGGAATCGCACCGAATAAAACCCCATGGTGTTCCACCTTCGGCGCAAATTGGCAGGGCCACGGGAACGCACATTCGTAGCTCCACTAGCGCTAGCCGCTCCATGGCGGCCCCTCCTCGGGAAAGGACTATTCCTCCCCCATCTTCTACTCAGGCATGACACACTAGAACACATGGCACGCCTTCCTCCACGTCTTCTAACTTCACCAACGCAACGGACGCCCCCGTGTCCGATGCGCAGAGGACATAGAATCAGGAAAAATAAGCATTCAGAAGCACTAGCATTCCTGACCCCAGCGGTGGATCTGGTCTATGACTCTGCCGCTAACCAAGATTTGGCTGCGGAGGGCAGAGAGAGCAGCGCTTTGCAATACCGACACTGCTCTTCCCCCGTACCCCAACATCAGCGCATCAACGGTGCAGCCTCATCAAAGACGCGGAGGATAAGGCGAGTGACGCATCGCCATACCAACACTCCTGCTCCTTCACGACTTCACCTCGGTTGCAGTGGTAAGAGAAGAGGACACCTCTCTCACCGCAGCCCACCAACACACATCCGAAGTGGGTTCGCAAAGCCCACTCAGAGTGGCCACCTGGAGCCGGCCCTTCACCTCGGGCCAACCATGTGGATACCTCTTTGTTCACCGCGGGTGACGAGATGGAGTGCCTCGTTTCCAGTAAAAAGGGTCTCCGGTTATCTGCACTCACCATACGAAACACAGCAGCATTAAGCTGCTATTTTACGCTGGTATTTTGTGAAAGCGTGATCCCACCCCGGTCGAGCAGACCCATTCGTGCTAAAACCATAATATAGCTGCAGCATGGTTTTACCACGTAGAATAAAGCTACCTCCTCAGTGGGTTTGAAATACTTACTATCGTCTTCAACTGTTTATTAATTTTAAACTGTTTTTTAAACTGGAAGCAGAAAGACATTGCTTGCCGTGTAGTGGCGTCGCCAAGCAAAGATAATTCATTACTGAATTTTATCCTCTGGGTGTCATAAAGAACGACTATAGAAAACGCCAGAAAATTCTTAAAGCTCCCTTTTAGGTTCCTTGCATTCCGTTTATACCAGACGTAAAATACTCAGACCAGCTATGGGCAGCAACTTCAAAGGTGTGCGACGTCTGCTATTGCAAACGTCAATCCATCTGCATTGACCAAAGAGCATATAATCACTACGTTAAATAGTGACGGTTTAGGCGAATCCTTCTTACAACGAGAGAGTCCTATGTTCAGCAGAAGACTTTGATATTTGCATAAGGAGTGATTACATGTTACCTTTTTACGTTTTTATTCCTTGAACATTTATAAATTTAACTTCTAATACTTATATTTTCTTTCAATTGCAGAATAGAAAAATAATAAATATTTTTCGTGGCATAAATAACATCAGATTTGGAGAGATCGCGAGAAGTGAAATAGAGTATTATCAAGAACTTCAAAAGGGTGGCTCTGTAGAAAGGCAAACTTACGACATTGATGAAGCGACACCAGAGGAAGTCGTACGTAATTCATAAATCAAAGTATGATTGTGAATTAGGCATTTATGCCTTGACGTGGGCCACACAATAGATCATCAAAAAGTACAGGTGTCCTTGACATGAGAGGCTAGCAAAGTGTCCACCTATATACACGCACGTAATATTCCATACCTCTCTCCCAAGGGAACAAAGTCTAACCGTCCAGTCTCCTGCCATCGTCCCTAAATATTCCATAAGGCTCTAAAACTGATGAAACACAAATAACATCAACATCTCTCATCAAAGTTTGTGATAGCTATGAGTAAAATTATACAAAATAGAAGAAGAGTGATGAAAGAAGAGGGTGTACATATTTGAGTCATGGGTGCCATGTTAACTTGGGAATTATATGTCCCATGTTTACGTGCGATATGCAACAAAAGAGAATGTACAAACTGTATCACTCGCCTAGCATGTCATAGAATTCGACGATGACGAGAATGGGATATTGACTTTGTGATTGTGTTGGTGTTGGGCTACCACCCATCACTTCTTTCACAATTTTCTATATTTTTATCTAAGCTGGGTTCGAATGCCTTGCTGTTCTTTGTACACTGCTATCTTTGTTTTTAATCCACCCTCGGGAATTAGTTACAGCCTAAATATGTCCCACTGCTAGACACAGGCCTCCTTTAATTTCTAAGTGTTTTAGGGCAAGGAAAAGTCCGCCGCGCTGCCCTCGAACTTCACATGTGTTCAAAATATTTTTTTTTCTTATTTCTCAGATATGCAGGTTTTTCACGATGTTTTCCTTCACCGCCGATCACACGGTGAATCAGCACTTAAAGTTCCCTCGGATCGCAGGGGAGTAGCGATACGTAGGCGTTCCCCTCTGTCAAAAATAAGTCCATGCGGTCGTATGTGCGTACAATATAACATAAATTGAAATATTTAAAACCCCGAAACAAAAACAGCTGATGACTTTAAAACGCCTGAATTGATTTTGATAAAACATATCTAAGAACCACCGTTAAAAATCTGCTTTTAAATAAGAAAAACCGCACCTAAATCGGTTCAACTGTTTAAGAGCTACGGTGCCACAGACAGACACACAAACCGACAGACAGACACGTAGCGGTCATACTTATAATAGTCCTCATTTTGGGTAGGGGGTTATAAACTAGTTGCAGACACACTGCTCACTAGACTAAATCTACATGCGCGGCTGATTCGATGCCCTATAAAAATGTCGAATAGTTCAGTTTTTTTTTGCTGCAAAATGAGTTCAGCCACGTCAAATTTACAAAAAGATGGCGTAATTTGTAATTTTTTCATAAATAAGTAATTTTTAATCACATTATTGCTTTTACTTATTTTTAAGCATAATGATTACAAATAAAACAGAACTATTGGTAAATCCAATTGTGCATGCCTGAAGCGCAATAAAAAATTATGTATAACATGATTATACGGAAATTTTTGAAGTAATTTCATTATTATATATTCAGAAACTATTACACTTACTTATGTTAGAAATTATACCAAAAGTATTTTAATAAAAGAACACAACCCGGTAACAAATCCTGCTTACTATCAGGACCCTAATTACGTGATAACACCAAAGTATGCAAACCAACAGCATCACTACCCATCTCAATGTAACACACGCCAGCCTCTCAGCAACAAGACCTTCCTTGCCTACATTAGTAGAATACACCAACGGGCATTGTAACGATAGTGGGACTCTTAGAATTAGAGACTGATCTTCTTAGTGGCCTGTACGATATTTTATACTGCTAAAATGAGTGGGAGATAGACATTCTGCCTTCATTTGCTTGTACTTCCTTTTATTTTTTTTACCCACATTCCCGACACTGCCTCTCCTGACAGATGTCCGTCCTCGGGCTCCTTTTAGATTTAAATATTAGTCTCCATCAATGGCATGGGGGATGCTGGCACCATGTAGGTCACAGGTGACGCGCTTGGCAATGGCTCTATGTTAGCACAACGTGTAGTCAGAGTAAAGTCATAGGCACTACGTTCGCATAATTTAACACAAGTAGTAAAGTTTTAATTTTTGTACAACCTATTTCAATATAAATGAAATGAGAATTAAAAGTCAATTAAATACGCATTATTAAGAATAACTCATGAAAAGCATCAGCTCTCAAACAAAAAAAAATAAATTATCAAAATTGCTCACCAAGAATGAAGTTCTGAGGGTTAACTAAGAACTTCATTCATTAAGTTATTACACACATTAAAAAACCACAGTCGAATTGAGAACCAACCTCCTCCTTTTTGAAGTCGGTTAAGTAACTGATTGAGTCATAGGCACGGCGTTCGCATAACTTAACAAAATAACTTATTTAAATCACATACACGACGCGACGTTAGCATAGGTTAACAAAACAATAACTCATTAAATCATAGGCACGACGTTAGCATAACATAATATAATAATAACTGATTAAAAGAAGAAATTAGTTACGTTTAAAAAAAGACAACTGCCATGGTTCATCAGTAATGTTCGGTACATGATGCAACTGCGTGACAGCGATCATAATAAGTATCGACAAACAAAAGCTGAAAGTGATAAAACTCATTATAAAGCTCATATTAATCATATTAATGAGAACCTACATAAAGCAAACATTTTGTGGAAAAACTTAAATTCGGTTGCATTACCTTCATTTGAAAATTATAACAATTTACCAGACCATTTTAATGATCCTGATAAAATTACACACCACTTTCTTATTATTCCGGAAATAAGCAATACTGGTTCGTTTTATTCTACATTTTTTAAAAGTTCTAAATATAACTCAAACATATTAAAGCTAATGCCAGTTCATGAAAGCGTAGTTGAAAAAGTTATTATGGCTATCAAGTCGAAGGCATAAGGGGTTGATCGAATTAGTATGGAAATTATACTTTTGACACTACTTAATAGGTCTATTACAGAATCAATTATTCCTTCTCAGTGGAAAATCGCACTAAATTTTCCGTTACCAAAAAAGTCAACGCAGTTGTTTTCAGCGACCTAAGATCTATTAGTATTTTACCATATTTATCAAAAATATTGGAAAAAGTTGTACACTTTCAAGTATTACACATTTGTGAATTAAATAAAATACTACCTAAGTTACAGTCAGGGTTTGGGAAGAGTCATGGAACAGCTACAGCCCTTATAAATGTGGTAGATGACGTGCTGTCGTTTTCGGATTCTGGCAAAGGCATGATCCTCACTCTTTTAGATTTTTCTAAAGCATTCGATTCGATCAATATGGATTTGTTAATAGATAAACTATCATATTACGCCTTTTTTCAACGGGTCACTGATGTGGTTTAAGAGTTATCCCAATAATCGTCTACAACAAGTTATAATTAACACCAATGATGGCGAAAGCTATGTTTCCCAACTTCTTCCTGTGAATAAAAGTGTTCCTCAGGGAACTATTTTAGGTCCTTTACTTTTTATCATTTATAGTTCCGATGTAACAACATGTCTTGAAAATTGCAAATACTATTTTTATGCTGATGACCTACAGGTGTATATTAGTGTAGATCGTAAAAGTGTAAATACAGCGGTAGCTAAGTTAAATGAGGATCTTCAACGCATTAGTTCTTGGTCACAAAATAACTCCATGCTCCTTTATCGTACAAAATTTTGCGCTTAAGGCATGCAATATTACGGTCGCGTTGTTTTTGATTTATTAAGCAACACAGGCCGCTGTGCTACTGATCACCGACCGATACGGTTGTAATATAACTATGTATGTGAGAGATTGTTAGTTTATTGTTTAAATTGTTATAAGTGAGTACCTATGCAAAAAATTCAGACAATTCTGTATCGGGAAAAAACGCTATGGCTTCTACCCCTCCACTCCGCCGGTGGTTTGCGTGGCTTTATGATAGGGATCAATTTTTCAATCGTCAGATAAAAGCTATCCTTCAAATAAATTACAACCTGACTGAATATGAAAGTGATTGCTTCACTGAGAATCATTTTGTTCATACAAGTAAAATTTTTAATTTACTAATATTCTATTTTATCCCATTAATAATTTTTAACTGATGATTAAAAATTAGTCCTTAATCATAATACACCTATTATATTATTATCATTTGCATATTATGATAGTGTAATCACGACCTAATTTAATTTTGTTTCAAACTCAAGTTGATCGCAGTATTATAAAATGTATGATGAGATTACCACTCATTAATAATAATAATAATAATTATTTTATTTATTTTATTTTATTAATATTTATGTAAGTTTATATATTTTGTTTATAATTATATATTTAAACGGCCCAACCAGATGAGAAAACTTTATAGATAACCCCAATAATAATAATGATAATTTTAATAACATTTTAAAGCCAACTTACATCCTGAGCTACCAGGTGAAGTGGTTCGTGTTAAATAATGTAAGATAATATCAACAGGAATGGAACAACATCCGAAAGTCTGAAAGGGAGGAAGTGTTAAAGAGCGCTCTTGCTAGAAAAGCCGCCCGTCAAGCGGCTCGCAAACAGCACCGAGCCGAGCTTATGATACCTTTTCTCCAGCATCTGAATTTTGTGCTGTATTGGCCAAATGCAACACATGCACATCCAGAACTATACGAGAGATGGGATGCGCACAGTTGAGTTACTCATTAAGACAATTACGGCCTTATTTCTCTACCTCTCTGTCTCTTTCTATCTATTTATATCTCTTCGCTTAATGACAATAGAAAGAGACAGATATATAGTTAATTTTCGAGATGTACTCGTTTCACTAATATTTATTTTAATATATTAACTATAAAAATCGACCGGATTCGTATCAAGGTATGTTAAATTTCAAGAAGATGAAGTTTTACCAAATGATGAGAGATAATTAATTTTAAACAGTATAGTGGCGGCTTAAGAATATCCACTATCCTATATCGTCCTTTGGGTGTAGTAAGAGGCGAAAGAGGGAAACTGAAATAGGAATGGACAGAAACATCTTGTATAAGTAAAAATTCTAAACCATTAAAATGTATGTCGAAATGTTTTAATGCCGTTGTATAATTAGTTATTTCTGTCTATTATATGTTTTACCACTTTATCAGCCAGTTAAATGACATTGCTAGACTATCAAGGCTCTCTTCCACAGTAGGGAAGATATGCTATAATCGCATTGCCCGGCAGGTAGGTAGGCGATACGATATGTCTCGCACCTTTGATACTTTTTCCCGTCGCCGGTCTAGATATTTTACACACACAAACACGCCTGTCACCCAGAGGGATAGGCAGAGACTACGGACTTCCATTTGGCACGATCCTGACACACCTCTCTCGCCTCCTTAACATCCATATATACACGCTCGTCGGTTAAGGGTACTCCTAATCTGGCCCATTTTCAATATATCAGCAATTTGGTCAATATACCTTCGTCTATGGCGTCCCTTTCCGACTCTGTCGTTCACTTCTGCAACATAAATTTGCTTTCTCACTCTTTCCTTGTTCATTCTGTCAGATATTTTACATCTGCTATATACAATATGGTCATACTACCATCTATTGAAGACCATAGGATTATTTAGTCTTTCTCATAATCTGTTACGACAGCCACGGGACGTAACTTCATGTTACTTCGTGCAATAAATAAAAAAATAAGTTTCCATTAAAAATGACATTTCTAACGGCATTAAATTTTTAGATATTATAATGGTCGGCCGTGAAGAAATACAGCTGACTAGAGAAGTGGCAGAAGACGTACTGTATGCTGGCGATGCTCCTATTAACGAGGCGTCTATGCATGTGTTGCTTTCAGCACCGGCCCTCGCTATATGCTTTAGGATATTAGATACAGATAAACACTTCGTTTGTATGTATTTGTATTTTTAAAATAGTTATTTACGATAAATACGGACGATAAACGGTCCTAAAGTTATAATCAGAGTATATGTAAAATACATATAAACGTTTGTTGTAAAAATTCTTTTGCTTGATCATCACTATCATCATCTGCTTTTGTAAATCACCTGATCGATATGATCTGAAACGTGGTCATTCACTGCTGGCCGTATAAGGCGACTCAAGGTCGCTCAGAGAGCTATGTAGAGGACTATGCTCGGGGTTTCCCTGCGTGATAAACTTAGAAATGAGAATATACGCAGTAATACCAGAGTGACCGACAAATCCCAAGGGATTAGCAAGCTGCATTAGGCCGGCCATATAGCTAGAAGTACCGCTAAGCGATGGAAAAAAAAGGTTCCAAGTGGCAGCCTCGTACTGGTAGGCGAAGCTTAGGGCGGCCTCCCGTTAGATAGAGTGAGGTAGAGAGACTGATAAGACATGCCGAAATTCGATGGATGCAGGTGGCTTAAGACGGTGCTTTGTTGCATTGAAGAAGGTTTATGTTCAGCAGTGGACTTCAGAAGGGCTGTAGTGATAGTGTGTGATAGTGTATGATATAGGCCTTCCCAGAATGATCTCGTGTGAATTTTTTAAAGGTTTATCCATTATCTCCGTTAGGTTACAGCAGAGCTAATACGGTCTTCCTGGTAGTGTTGCTAGTGTAAGTGATCTTAGGATTTGGCGAAATAATTCGCGAATAACACATTACATCTGTTCTTCATTAATACAAGGTAAAGTGACAAATTATCATACTGTCCATTTAATAGTGTGCGGATTGTGTGGTCTATAGAAATCTCTATCTATCCTCCAATAACTTCAGATGAGTGCCCCCACCCCCACCCCTCTGTGACAAAGATGGAACGCCTGGTTACCAGCGTAAAAGGTTTCCAGTCGTTACTAACCGTACACAGAACACAAGCGTGTTCTTTTCTTGAACAAATCGAATCATTCGTAATGCAGACTACTGCTGCAATATGCAGGCTATACCACGTCAAAATATACTTGTTTTTACGTAATAGTCATGCTGCAGATATCTTATGGTTGAGCACGAATGAGTCGGCTCAACCAGGGAAGTAGCTCTCACAGAATACCAGTGTAAAATAGCACGAAGCATTATATCTTAGTCCTCACGGGTGACAACGCATCTGCGTTTTGATTCGTAATCGAGGATAGATGTAGATATCTATGGGCCACAGCAACTACTTACCATCCATCAGGTGGACTGTGTGCTCGTTTGTAAACCTTATACTATAAAATGAAACTTTTTAATACTAATAATGATTCGCAGGCATTTTATAATTTATGTAAGTAATCTTGACTGACGGATCAAAGCGGTGCTTAAGAATATACTCCTCTGAATAGATCGTTGTAGCTAAATAATCAAATAAATACCATTATGAATGTGTGGATATTAGCCATACTTGGATTTACAAAGGAACTAATCTATAACAAACTTGCTGCTAGTCGTAGTCGGATTATATTGACCCCGACTACAATTTCGTGCTTCGCTTTGTGTGGCTGTGCTTTATTTAAAACATAGCAATGATCACGCGATACATGATGAGCCACTTAAAATAATTTAAAATATCTGTATCTATAATTATTATGACTAATTTCAAAAAGCACTAAAAATATAATTCGTAAACGGCATTTTATTCATTGTAATTGCAAATTGTGTTGCACCAACTCAGGCTCCAAAACTGAAAATAAGTCCATCCATTAAGTATAGCTTCCCCTTTAGTAAGAAGTTAATATTATGATATATTACTGTTTTTCTCAGCATTGGTACGAAAGATTCTTTACGAAGAAATACCTCCGATCGACGAATCTAAGCCTTTAGCTGATCAACCGCCACAGAAAACCGCATTTGATCTTTATAAGTCTTACAGTCTACCAAAAGAAGAAATTTGGCAAAAGCGTCGAGAGGAAAGGATGAGTAGGAAGGTAGTCTTTAATTAAAAAACCACGATCGACGCATCAATGTTCAGTTATCAAGATACACTTTATTAGTAGTTAAATTATAAACATATCAGCCGTAAACATGTTTTCTTCTTCTATCTAGAAGCCCCATATTGTAGAAGTCTACGAAAACTAACACATGTAAAGAAAGTTCTAACATTTTAGTACATATGAGTTACCATGAAGTATTTTTCATTAGAAAATCTAAAATGATTGGTGTTGTATATATTCCTTTTGATAATTTTTGGGTTTTCTAAAGCAGAAGACAAAATGAGGCATGAATTCTATATCTTTTATTTATTAAAAGCAAATACTTAATTTAATTTTCTACCGGAGTCGAGAAATGGACAAATGGCAACAAGTGTAATAATGATGGTGATAATGATGATGAATCAATACATTTAAATTACAAAATAGAAAGAGAAAACGGATAGAAATAAGTTTAAGAAAATACATTTAAGCACTTAGAATAGATTTGACTTATTTTTTATATTTGGCAGATAGTTTACTAAATATATAATATGGACTTGGCGGGATTGATTAGTAGGCCATAATGTTTCTTTCCAAAGGTTATTGCACACACGAGACGGGTTGTATGCCAGTATCCCAAAAAGTTTAAAATCACTACATTTTAGTAATACCTTGCCCTTCTGTATTCATATTTTGAGGGCATATTTTATCGTATAAGCGAGAACAGTAGTCATGTGGTAGCCATATTTGTCCAAGCAGCTTTGTTAACATAGTAATGGAGTTTAATTTTGACCTACATGCATAATATATTTAAATTTTTTAATATTTAGTCATATATGTACAAACCATATATTTGTCGTTTATATTCATCAGTTCTTATCGTCTATTTATTTTTATATATAGTTATTTCTTCACTGATATTATATTTCTACTCTTAATTCTGGCATAGTTAATAATAAACCAGCCATGGTATATGTAGGTTTCGAACGATTAGCACCTTTACCTTTTTATCTTTAACATGGTCAGTCATGGGACTCACATCAAATCATAATATAATGTTTTTTTTTTGTTATTTTGTAGTGGGCTAAGATTAATTTTCATTCCCTCTGTGCGGTGTTTATAAATTTCATAACTCTGATTCTAGATAGAAATATAAAACACTTACGCATCACAACCCTTTAAAAATGTGTTTTGTTTGTTGTAAACGTAAACTTTTGTTACAACGTTCGCCAGTTTTTGTCGCCGTAAAATGTTAGATTTTATTTTTTAGGAGCAAGCAAGAATAAATCGCGCGAGGCGCTTGTCCGAGATGCAACGTTTGGCTCGTCAAGCAAAAGAGGATGCTATACAGAACAAAAGAGCAGAGAGGGAGAAAAGAAAACTTGAATTGCTTAAAGCTGGTGTACGTTCACGATATGTAAAATTTATAACGATTAAAGAAAAATCTAAAAACTTTAATCATCACAATATAGTCTCAGGTATAGTGCCAATAACGCTATTACGGTACGCAATTAGATTGTTATACTGAGCTTTTAGGCGTGAAAAGAATCAGCTTCGCAACGACGATCAATTACCGATAGATTTTTAAAAATCTTCATTTGTACATTCTGGTGACTTCGCTTGTGGTGTTAAGTGACTGCTAGTCTTTACTGCAATGGTATAATCACGTTTCAGAGTCTTGTGTTTGCGCAATTTAATAAGTTTAAACGCTTTTGATATATACTCGCTTAATATTTTATGTTTTTCTTTAGATGATTCTCTATTTGCGCCAATTGGTGTTAAGATTTGTAGTCATAAGTAATAATAAAACAGTTAGAAATATAATTGTGATCGAAGTTTTTTTTTTCTGCGAAGTGAATCTTGGATTGTAATATATGCTTACTATGACGACCTGGTAAGACATGCAGGAAGTCGATAGATGCAGGTAGCCTAGGACCGTGCTTTGTCACATTCCTTGGGGGAGGCCTATGTTCAGCAGTGGACTTGATGATGATGAAGATGACGCTTATTATTATAATACAGAGTAAATGAAAACTTACTTAAGCATAAGAGTTTGTTGGATTTGTTGAAATGTCATACAGGACTTAAGTAATGGTAACAAAGTTTTTGTTTCTTCTTAAATACCTATCTTTTTCTTCTTCATCAGCCCGTAAAATATGCAGTTGAACATGGGTCTCTTCAAAATCTCTAGATTCCTTTGCCACTTTCCATTTTCGGTCTATTTATTTCTCGTCTGATGTAAACAAAATGAAATCAAATAAAATATTTTCAATTCTTCAACGCAGAATTAAATTTTAATTGTTGCCGTGTAGTGGCGGTCAAGGATATCCACTACCCCATATCCTCCCGTGGGTGTCGTAAAAGGCGACAAAGGGAAACAGGCAGGAGACGGGCAGCAGCATCTTCCTGATAATAGCCAAAATTACAATAAAAAAAAACTGCGGTTGCCAATCTGCTCGCCAAGCGTGGCAACTATGGCAAATACCCCCCAATGATTAAAGCGGTGAGCTGAAAGTAGGGAAATTTGAAAAAGAGCAACGGAACCCAAGGGGCCAGCAGCTGGCCGACTTCATGGAAAAAGAGGGACTCTTTACGATTAATTCTTTCTTCCAGAAGCGGCCCCACAGTAAGTGGTCCTGGTCGAGCCCCGACGGTTCGACAAAAATGAGATTGACTTCATTATGACGACCAGACGACAACTGTTCAGTGATGTCTCCGTGATCGCGAAGGTGAAAACTGGTAGCGATCACCGAATGGTTAGAGGCACACTGAACCTAAACGTTAAGTTGGAGAGGTCTCGTCTAATGAAGTCATCGCTCCGTCCCCCTCGTGCTTTGTTCCAAAGTCCCGAAACCTTTCAGCTCGAGTTACAAAACCGTTTTCAGTGCCTAGAAGACTGCAATGAAGTGGACGATATGAATGACAAGCTCGTGGAAACTGTCCATGCGGTCGGAGCTAAGTTCTGCAAGGCCCGCCGCAGAAGAACACAAAAACTCTCCGATCACACTCTTAATCTCATGGCTGTTAGAAGCGATCGAGCTGATCCAGGGCTCCAAAGTCTTTGCTAGAGATCTGTCTGCCAGAAAGAGCCAGCTTTCGAAGCTGAAGACCGAGTGTGGCAGCGTCGTTTCCGGTACACCAAGATTTTGAGTGAGATTGAGAGGTTCTATGGGCAGCTGTACACATCATCCTTGGAGCCACACGCAAGTGTGCGTAACGATCCAAGAGCGAGTCTTCTCCGACACTATTCCGAAGATATCCTGGACGTCAGTCTGAGCGAGATTAGAATGGCTCTCCCGCACCTTAAAAACGTCAAGGCCCCAGGCGAGGATGGAATTACAGCGGATCTTCTGACAGCGGGTGGAAGACCGGTACTTGAAGTCCTTCAGAAGCTCTTTAATTCCGTCCTCCATGGTGGCATTACACCGGAGGCTTGGAGCAGAAGTGCGGTGGTCTTGTTCTTCAATAAAGGTGACAACGCTCTCTTGAAGAACTACAGACCGATTTCCCTTCTGAGCCGCGTCTACGTGCTGTTTTCGAGAGTCATTACGAATCGTCTCGCGCGCAGACTTGACGACTTCCAGCCTCCCGAACAAGCCGGTTTCCGAAAGGGCTTTAGCACCATAGACCACATACATACCCTTCGACAAATTGTACAGAAGTCCGAAGAGTACAATTTGCTACTATGTCTGGCGTATGTGGACTATGAGAAAGTCTTTGATTCCGTTGAAATTTGGGCAGTGCTGCAGTCCCTTCAGCGGTGCCAAGTTGACTGTCGGTATATCGAAGTGTTGAAGTGTTTGTACAGTAGAGCTACGATGGCTATCCGAGTACAGAACCAGAGTACGAAACCTATCCAATTGCAGAGAGGTGTAAGACAGGGTGACGTCATATCCCCGAAACTCTTCACCGCTGCATTGGAAGACGTTTTCAAGCTTCTGGACTGGAAAGGATACGGTATCAACATCAATGGCGAGTACATCACTCACCTTCGATTTGCCGACGATATAGTCCTTATGGCAGAATCGCTGGAGGACCTAAGCACTATGCTCAATGACCTCAATAGTGTCTCCCAACGGATAGGTCTTAAGATGAACATGGACAAAACAAAGATTATGTTTAATGTCCATGTCACACCTATGCCGGTAGTTGTTGGGAGCACTAAGCTCGAAGTTGTTGACGAGTATGTTTACCTGGGACAAATAGTCCGACTAGGTAAGTCCAACTTCGACCGAGAGGTCAATCGACGGATTCAACTCGGCTGGGCAGCGTTCGGGAAGCTACGACACATTTTCTCGTCAGATATACCTCAAAACCTTAAAACGAAATTGTACAACCAGTGCGTGTTGGCAGTGATGACTTACGGAACTGAGACGTGGTCCTTCACTGCTGGCCGTATGAGGAAGCTCAAGGTCGCTCAGCGAGCTATGGAGAGGGCTATGCTCGGAGTTTCTCTGCGTGATAAACTTAGAAATGAGGATATCCGCAGTAGAACTAGAGTAACCAACATAGCCCAACGGATTAGTAAGCTGAAGTGGCAGTGGGCCGGCCATATAGCTCGAAGAACCGACAACCGATGGGGAAGAAAAGTTCTCGAGTGGCAGCCTCGTACCGGTAGGCGAAGTGTAGGGCGACCCCCCACGAGATGGAGTGACGACCTGATAAGGCATGCAGGAAGTCGATGGATGCAGGTGGCTCAGGACCGTGCTTTGTGGCATTCCTTGGGGGAGGCCTATGTTCAGCAGTGGACTTATGAAAGGCTCTAATGATGACGAAATGATGATGTTGTTTCGTTGATATTTTAGTCTTTGATTGACATCTGTGATGCTATCTTTTGGAGATCTTAATATCTCTCTGGATTTTTCCACTGCCGTCTTTTACAACACTTACGAGATGAACTGGGTGATGATGATTCAGGATGATGATGATGATGATGATGATTGACAGCTGTGATGATATCTTTTGGAGACCGTAATATCTTTCTGGTGTGTCCCACTGCCATCTTTTACGACACATACGGAATGAACTGGGTGATGTATTTTTACTACACAAAATTATGATTAAGTATCATGAAGGATTATTTAAATTGTATCGTGTAGTAGAAAGATTCTAAGGCCCGTATTTAATAAACATTACTCAACGACGAGCTCAAGTGCGTAATCATTTGATACGCGCTCATTACGATATCAGCATCTCAAGATCGTTGGTAATTAATAAACACAAAAACAGCATCTCAAAACGTTGTACTTAGGAATACTGTTCTGCGACTTGCACTCAATTACACACACTTGAGAGTGGAGATTCGTTTATTAATCAGTAAACCACATCTTGAGATACTTATATTAATTTATACTCAAGTTTAATTATATACTCAAGTGCGTGTACTTGAGCTGAGTAACGTTTATTAGGCCTAAGACAGTGACGCTTAGTAAATAGATTAACGATCGCAGTACCTCAAACTTGTGCCTTTAGCGCTACTGCTTTTTGTCGGTCTGTGTATTTTATATCCGGGGTCATTTTTTTAATAGAATAAGAGTGACAAACGAGCTCATAGTCCACCTGATGGTACGTAGATGCGGCACCACATAGACATCTACATCTATCTTCGATTAAGAATGAAGATGCAGATACATCGCCACCCCTGAGGACTAAGATGGAATCCTTCGTTTCCAGTAAAAAGGGTCTCCGGTTCTCTAAACTCACCATACGAAACACAGCAGCATTAAGCCGCTATTTACGTTGGTATTCTGTGAGAGCGTGGTCCTACCCCGTTAGAGCTCATCCATTTGTGCTGCAACCATAATGTAGATGCAGTGTGGCTCTAGCACTTTGAAATATATATGAACGATATAGTTGTAACGTAATGAAGAAATCTTAAGAACTTTCTGATATTTCTCATAGTAGCCTCTTACGTCCACTACGTCACTACAACACGGTGTACACAAAACTTTATTTTAAAAATATATTTCAGAATATCACAGCTTTGGACGATCTTAAAGGAAGTTCTGTAGATATGGAGGTCGATATTACGATACCTGAGGTATGAGTAAAGTTACTTACTTCTTGCTTCTTTGTGTTCTCCCCAATGTATTCCTTTTATTAAGAACTAGCTATCCGCCACGGATTCGCACGGGCGATTTCTGGAACTCGATAACAGCGCCAGCTACCGGATCCAATTGTGAATCGTAACCATCCAGGGACCAAACGCTAATAATTTTTTTTATCTAAATTGGTCGAGCCTTTTTTGAGTTTTAGCGAGACTAACGGACAGCAATTGATTTCTATATATTATAGAGATGTCGAAGACATGTTAAATACTATAGTGTGTACAATATAGTGTGAGAGCGGTTGTTCAAATTGCTCTCTTGCTTACGCAAATCACTATTAGGAATAAAAGATCGTATCGCAGTTTGCAGTCAATATAGCGTAGCTGCAATTCGACTGAAATGCGTTACGTTCATTTGTATGTAATAGTGTAATGTGAATGTGATGGATATATTATAATTGCATGTTAACACCAAAAAAGGTATTCACAAACATTACTATGAGGTCTCACATTAAGCTTGAATGAACAGGGTACAGAAAGCTTGATAAAAATAACACTTGAGGGTCGAAAGACACTATACGAAGCTACTTTACACTACGCATAGTGCGACAAATCAACATAAAAAGTGTTAAACAGTGTAGAGATTGTTGCCAAAAAAGTTTAAAATGTTGCCAATAAATAAAAATCGTTAGATTAACTGAATAAGCAGTGAATTTTGTATGATTTCTTATGTTCTTTTTCAATAGTGTGAGAGCGGTCATTTATATATATTATATATGTTATATATATATATATATATATATTCACCTCCTAAATTAATTAAAGATCTAGGTTGTTTAAGCTCGTTATAATATTTTACTCTTATATTATATAAATATTGCATGTTTATAAGTTTTTTTTTAAATCAATCAAATTCAAACTTAGTATATATTATCAGAATGTTAGGGGCCTCCGAACTAAAACTGAGGACATACGAGTATATGTTTCCGTTTTATCAAATAATTACGATGTTATTATTTTAACAGAATCTTGGTTAAATGATACTGTTTTTGATCATGAGTTGCTGGATAATCGCTACTATATTTTCAGACGTGATAGATATACAACTTCATCTCATAAAACTAAAAAAGATGGCGGGGGAGTGTTAATGGCGGTTTTGAAAAAGTATCAAGTTTATAGAAAAAACGGTTGGGAATGTACGTGTCTACTATAGGTACTGTTTACTTTCCACCCCCTTAAATGAGGATTACGTTACAACTTATTTGAAGTTTAACTAAAGTAATGCATGATGATGTTGACAATACATTTCTTATTGTCGGAGATTTTAATTTAAACAAGATATCATGGCATACTGACGATGACAATAAATTAGTACCGATAGCTAATGTTAATTCAGACAACTTATTTCTGGATGCTATGTCATTTAACAATTTGAAGCAATGCAATAATATATTAAATAAACATACAGCCGAGCCGACATACAACTTTTTTAGAACTGATTATGAATCTTTAATTAAGGAATTAGAGACATTTGACTGGAGTGTTTTATGGCAGGATTCAGCAGATGTCAATGATATGGTTAATGTGTTTAATGAAACAATAATGTATTTTTGTAAAAAACATACTCCTTTATTTAAACCGAGAAATAAGAATTATCCTCCATTGTTTACATCTTCCTTAATCAAGGCTCTTAAAGAAAAATCGAAAGTTCACTGTCGGTTTAAGAAATATGGGAATGCATTGGACAAAGTCACTTAGAACCTATTGAGAGCTAGGTGTAATCGACTTATAAAGGAATGTTATGCTAAGTTTAAAATGCATGCCGTAAGCCATTTACAAAGTAACCCTAAAAAATTTTGGCATATATTTAAAAGAAAAAGTCTAATTCTGCTTCTATACCTAATGAAATTGAAATATAATGACAAGCGGGCAAAGGGTGGTAAAGATGTTAATAATCTACTTGCAGAATATTTTCAGTCTGTATATAAAAAAAAGTAACAAGCAAACATGAGATACGTGAATATTTACAATCCCTCGATAGTAACAATAGTACGAGTACCGATTCCCTTCCTCCGATTTTTTTCAAGATCTGTGCGAGTTGCTTGTGTAAACCTCTTTCTAGAATTTTTAATAAGTCTTTTTCTTCTGGTATCTTTCATCATCAGTGGAAAATTGCCAGTATAACTCCAATATATAAATCTGGTAATATTGATGACGTAACTAATTATAGACCAATTTCGTTGCTACCTGTTTGTGGAAAAGTATTAGAGGCACTAGTACATAAAAGAATACTAAGTCACGTCAAGAATCAAATAAGCCATAACCAATATGGGTTTTTTCCAAAAAGATCAACAGCTTCTAACCTTCTAAGTTATATATTGGACATTACTGATGCCATTGATAACGGAGAAGAAGTTCACGCCATGTATACAGATTTTCGTAAGGCATTTGATTAATGCTTAAGATGGAAGCAATGGGTATTCATGGAACACTGCTTAGATGGTGTGAATCATACTTGAGGAACCGTTCACAACTTATTTCTATTAATGGATTTAAGTCATTCTCTAGTGAAATCCTTTCTGGTGTTCCTCAAGGTTCTCACCTTGGTCCGTTGTTTTTCTTGATATTCATAAACGATATAAGTAAAACCCTTAATTCCACATTCAAAATGTATGCAGACGACTTAAAAATTTATCGAACTATAAAAAGTGTCCATGATGTTATCGCCTTACATCAAGATCTCGATAAAATAGATAGATGGTGTAGGGATAACCTCATGATATTAAATACACAAAAATGTTACCATATAAAATTTAGCAGAAAAAAGAATAATTACACAGCTGAGTATTTTATTGGTGACAGTGTCATAAAAGAAGTGTCTTGCTTACGGGATTTGGGTGTTTTTGTAGATACTACTCTTTCTTTTCGACACCATTTTGATTACATAATCAAAAAATCTTCAAGACTCTCAGGCTTTATATGTAGGCAAATGAATATTTTTAAAAACAGTGGACTAACCATAACTATTTACAATTCTCTCGTTAGAAGCCATTTGGAGTACTGCAGTGTTGTTTGGAACCCTATTTATACCATCCACTCTGAGCGAATAGAGCGTGTTCAAAAACGTTTTTTGTATGTCCTTAGCTATGCCGAGAAAAAATGCCATATACGTTATTCCTACAATGATCGGCTAAAATATTTTAAAATGGTTCCGCTGCAAATACGTAGGAAAATGTTTGATATAATGTTTTTGTATGAATTGATTAATGGTTATATTGACTCACCAATAATTTTAGAGCGCATACAATTTTTAATACCTCGTGCTAATAGTCGCCTTCCTAATCGTAAAACTTCCACTTTGTAGAACCGTTCTCGGACAACATTCGCCATTATACCGCATGTGTTCATCCAGTAACATTGTTCGATCTGAAGTGGATCTTTTCATGGGTTCGGTGGCCTCCACAAAAAACAAATTATTACAGTATCTTTTTTCCAAGTATGTTATTTAATTTAGCCTTAATTTAATTTAGTCTTAATTTAATTTAATTTGGTATTTAGTTTAGCACGAATATAATTATAACTTTAAGTCCCAAACTTTATTGTTAATCACAGATACATTTTGTGCAAGCTATGTCTACATATATATTAGAATACAATTTTTGAAATCTTTGTTTTATATAATACCTGTCAGCATGTTGAAATTGTGTTCCGTTTTGTAGACCAAATAAAGAGAAAAAAAAAGAATTAAAAATAGTGTGTGAAGTGTATGTAAAGGCAACAAGTGGTAAAATGAAAAATTTAGTACAACCGACTTAAATATAAATTATTAAGGATAACTAAAAACTACTGGCCAGACCTTGATCAAATCCTTGGAAAAAAGAAAAAAAAAGAATTTTCTAAATCGGTTCAGGCGTCTTCGAGTAATCGGTAAACATACATAAAAGAGATTTAGACGAATTGATAACCTCCTCCTTTTTGAAGTCAGTTGAAAAAGCGTTTATTTGATATTTTGTGTATTATAATATATTTAAATTTTATTCCTCCATTGTGCAGTTGAATCTGAAATAGAGTTTGCTTAATATACAAATCTAATATTTAATGAATTACAAGTGAATTTCGACCATTAGTATTATATAATAATAATAACTTTTAACAAAAAGTAAAAACCGACTTCAAATTGCCAAATAAGAAGTTATTTATTTGCTAACCTTATGTGTGGAATTTTTTCTCCAAATTTATATGGGACCACCCTTGAAGTATAACCTATTTAATAAAAAAAATAATCATCAAAATTTAATCATAATCTGCGAAGATATCGCTAAACATACCTACAAAAAAAAAAACTCGAATTGAGACCCTTTTTGAAGTCGGTTAAAATTGCATTTTAGAAACTATCGGATGACGAAGTAGAAGAAAGTAGCGAAGAGGAGGATGAGAACGAGTATTTTCCGCCTCCAGGCCTCTTGATACCAGGATTTTACGCTCCACCGAATGACATTGCTAAAGTCAACGGCCTGGCTATATTATTTCCCAAGGTAGGTGTTATGTCATTTGTTTTTAGATCATAATAAAAGAAGTTTTATCAAGCGATCATACAAATTATTTAAAAGTATACTACAATTTACATATTACAATTAAGCAACAGTAGCCTAATGGTAGTGTTCCAATCTGTCGTTCAACTATTTTTAACACAAGAATTTTTAAGCTTTCAACGGGAGTATTAGCAGTGTTTAACGTTTTTTTATAGGATACCCTATCCTATAGAACAAGAAAGACAAATGAGCACAGTCCACCCGACGGTAAGTGGTGGCTATGGCCTATAGATACCCACATTTATCCTCGTTTGGGAATCAAAATGCAGATGCGTTGTCACCCGTGAGGAATAAGATGTAATGCCTCTTATCCAGCAAAAAGGGTATGCGGTTCTGTACACTCACCATAAGAAACACAGCAGTGTTAAGCTGCTATTTTACGTTGGTATTCTGTGAGAGCGTGGTCCTTCCCCGGTCGAGTCGAACCATTCGTGCTACAACTATACTACTAATATAGCTGCAGCATGGCTCTACCACGTATAAACGTGGTAGAGTCAAGTTGTCACTAATATTCTTTAAAAAATACTTGCCTCATAGACGTAACTGTGAAACTAGCTGCTGCAGCATTATGGCTGGACTATATATTGAAAATATATAAATTACTAAATATCCATTTGTTTCATTGTTGTGACAAACTTAACTAGGTGACAGGAACTTAATTAACTCCCCTAGCAGGTCTAGCATGGGCAGGAGACAATTTTATCTCCGGGAAAAGGAGAAAATGTTTATCCCCTCGCTTAGTTTTATCCACCCTTCGAGCATGAGTACACCGGTGGATATAAATAATATCAGCAGTAGATAAAATGGGAGATAGACTTAGATTTACACAGATTTTTTGTATGATTATAAACTTAAACCCGCGTCCAATGAACTAGGATGAAATTGTCCCTTTCAAATGTCAAAAAGCATAATTTTTTATCTTTCATTTGGCTGCATGTTACGGACAGGGGATATATGTCTACTCGTTATGTCAAACGGGGATGTACTTCTCCCCGTTGCCGTGTTTTGGCGTAAGGATAAGATAATTTTATCTCTTGTCAGTCGTGGGATAAATTTTTGTCCCCAGCCTATGCTAGCCGTGCAGGAGTCTGATTGGTTAGGTACCATCCTCTTACCTATTCCTGATGCCAAATAGCAGTGCCTTGTGTGTGCCCAGTGTGTTGCGGTGTGAAGGGTATAGAGAGTCAGTATACTTACAGGCTGTGAGTATTGCAATCTGTAACGTTTCCTTGTGTCCATGAACTGCATTAGCCACTTAACATCAAGTGAACTGACTAATGAGTATTGAGTTAACCTCAGTGGCGTAGCTATGTAACCAAGGGCCCCGGGGCAAAAATGAAATTGGGGCCCTATTGAAACTAACCTAAATACTTTAAATGTGCAAAACTACTTCATCATAAGTTCCTTGTCGCCCACTGCAGGGCATAATAAAGCAAAGCTACTTACAACTAAGCATTATATGCGAACATGAAATAAGCGGCTGTAATGAATGAATGTAATGAATGGGTGGATCGGCTCGAACCGAGTAGACCCACGACGTCACAAATAACCAGCGTAAAGTATATGTTTATTTCGCCTGTTAAGTGCAGGTGGTCGAAGGCCTAAGCCGTCGCCCTCTTAACATGGTAGAAATTCTGCGCAAGTGGCAAGTAGAACAATAAGAGAGAGGTGACCCATGCCACGCTATCCGTGAATTTCTGCAACGTCAGAGGATTTCATTCAAACGTTAACGAAGTCCCCTAGGTACCATCTGAAAACGGCGAAGCCGACCTTGCCCTTTCTAACCGAGACGCAGGTGTCCTCTCCGGTCGATACTTTTCTCGTATCCGGGGTACAAATTTTAAATCCTTTGTGCTTTGGGCTGGAGATTGCGTATACGTCAGAGAGGACATCTGTTCTCGACGCAGCAGTCTTGAAGTTCAGCGACAACCATCCTCGCATCTACGGGTGACTCTATAGGTCCCATAGCGGTAATGCCGGCACAGACCAACTCATCGACCACGTCCAAATTGCTGCAAACTCTGTGCTACAACAGGTCCTGTCTGCAGAGATCGTGATCCTTGGTGATTTTAACGGCCATCACGCTGAATGGCTTGGTTCTCGTTTAACCAAACATGAGGGAAGATCTGTTTATGATTTTGCCTTGGTATATGGTCCGACACAAATGGTTATTTCACCTACGCGGATTCTAGATGTGGAGGATCGCGCACCTTCCCTGTTGCACCTCTGTTGACCTCTCATCCGGATGGATATGGCACTTTAGGTCCGCCGATTGGGACAGGATGCGATCTTTTTTTGCATCCTACCCTTAAGGACAGGGGCGGATATGCTTCTCGCCGGATGATCCCAACGTGCTTCTGTTGCTGATGTGGTACTTCAGGGAATGGGATTCTATTCTATCATCTGTGGTGCCTGGTTTGGTCGCTCCACTAAAATTGCATCGCACTATAATAGGAGTGCTTCACCAGCGCTGTTAAAAAGAAGTATAATTTCGTCTTCAGGTCGGTACGATACGCTTTACACAGCACTGGGTGTGTATAGCACTATTCTCCCTAGACGTCAAGTCTAGTGGGTCTAATGGAGTTCCTCCTATTGTGCTGAAGACGTGTATTCCCTAGTTGGCATCGGTTGTAACGTATCTTTTCTAAAACTCTTTCTCGCTAGGCGTAGTCCCAAACTCAAAGAAGACAGCTTTAGTGCACCAGATCCCTAAAAAATAACCAAAAATTGACCGCTCAGACCTATCCATCTTGTTCTCAAAAATAATGAAAACCATTGTGAACTACCAGCTCATGTGGTTGAGGATCACCAACTGAAAAGTGACCGCCAGTACAATTTCCATCAAGGGTCGCTCAGTTGGTAATCTTCTGGGTTACCTGACTCATAAATCGGCATAGACAATGCCGATTTATGAGAGGGAGAGAGACCCTGGCCGTTAGTTTGGACATAGCGAAGGCCTTCGATCGGGTTTGGCACAAAGTGCTTCTTTCGAAGCTCCCTTCCTATGGGCTTCCCGAGAATTTGTGCTACTGGATCAGCAGTTTTCTTGCAGATTGGAGCAACAAAGTCGTAGTAAAAGGTGCATGCTCCATTTACAAGCCTATTTATGCGGGTTTTCCACAAGGCTACGTGCTATTACCTACGCTGTTTCTTCTGCTTATCAATAATATGTTGCAAACCGTAACGTGCACTGGCGATGCTTTATACACCGGCTGTGCCTATATTTCTTGGGAAAACGTCACCGAGTATCGGAACAAACTTGTGTCTGAAGTAGAGTTTTTGCCGGATAAGGTCTCGGATTGGGGCAACTAAATCTAATTAAGTTTAATGCCCAGAAGACACAAGTTTGCCACTAAAAATAACCTTTTTGTCGTAACTCGTTAATTTCAGGGCACTCCCCTTGTTACCTCAGCTAGTATGGGAATCTTCGGCGTTTACATAGAATAACGTGCTGTTTCATGGTCACTTGAATTGGCCTCTAAAAACCTCGGCGTGCTCAGTATTTTATGCGGGCACACTACTTGCAACTTTATAAGGGGCAGGTTCGGATTAACATGGAATACTGTTCTCATCCTTGGGCCGGGGAGGGCAAGTGGAAGGAGCCGGTAATCTCATACTAGGGAGTACCGGCTCCTTCCACTTGACTGCATCCAGCGCAGAGCGGCTCGAATCGTCGACGACCGACGAAGACGAAAGACGAGACGAAGAGATGTTGCATCCCTTTGCATTTTCTATGGCATTTACCACGGGAGTGTTCAGAGGAATTGTTCGGATTAATTCCAGCCACAAAATTTCATCAACGTATTTCACAAATCCACATCATAGGGATTTTTGGCGGTCCACTACTGTCAGACCGATACGACTTAGGTAGCTTCAAGAAACGAGCTTACTCCTTTTTAAAAAGCCGGCAATTGCCCTGGTGTTGTATTTGTTAATAGGCGGTGGGCGACACTTGCCAACAGGTGAGCCGAAGTGGGATTAATTTTTGTGATTTCAATTCGAGCCGTTCGCGGTCAGGGCTAAAAAGTTAACACTCGAAAATTTTTATACAACTAGGATAGTACATAATTTTTGAATATCGTTGGAGGCCAAGGGGCCCCTTTAGCTTGGGGGCCCCGGGACACTGCCCCGCATAGTCCCTGGTTAGCTACGCCACTGGTTAATCTGTTGCTAACCAAATCCACCTCTAGAAATCCATTCTAAATTACCTAGGATATTGACCAGTAAACAAAATACTACGAAATTTTTCGCAGAGATAAGCTCGATGGAATTTAAATATAATGTACCTTTCTTGAACATAAACAGGGTAGTAAAATAGATTAGTCAAAGAGCTTCATCAACTTCTTTAAATGCAACGAGGTTGTGGATACCGTCAAAGGGTAGTATAATCGATATTCCGAACCCGATCAAGTTGGAAAACAATAGTGCAGAAGTTACTTGGCGTCAGAAATTGGTATTGTGTTGACTACCTCGTTGGCCTAGTGGTTGCAGTAGTGCGACTGCTGACTATGAGGTCCCGGGTTACCGGAGAGTTAATGAGTTTTCTGTCAAGAAATTCTCATTACCTGCCCGGAGTCAGGAAGTTCTCATCCCCGTACCTCGGAAAGCACGAAAAGACGTTAGTCCTGCGCTGGATCTCTCTTCGGTTGTGTCGATTTACCGACTATGAAAGTGACGCAATAGAGAGTGTACTTATGTTTGCGCATACACTTGGGCACTATAAACCTATCCTTCACCCGATGACTAGTCTCCGTTGAGGCAGGCCGCCGTGACCAAAATTCGGTCTAAAAGATATTATTATTATTAACCGGATGCTCTTCAAGGCAGAAAAGGAGCTCTACCACCTAGAACAGTAGACTGAATATCACAACCAATATGTAGTCTTCGTATTTTGAGTTGTGATGGTAATGGTACTTAAAATGATTTTTTTTATAGGATAGGGTGACAAACGAGCACACAGTCCACCTGATGGTACGTGGTTGCTGTGGCCCATAGACATCTACATCTATCCTCGTTTGCGAATCAAATTGCAAATACGTATGTCACCCGTGAGGACTAAGATGGAATGCCTCTTTTCCAGTAAAAAGGGTTTCCGGTTCTCTACACTCACCATACGAAACACAGCAGTATTGAGCTGCTATTTTACGCTGGTATTCTGTGAGAGCGTGGTCCTTCCCCGGTCGAGCCGACCCATTCATGCTACAACTATACTACTAACATAGCTGCAGCATGGCTCTACCACGTTAAAAAAGTTTTTGAGATGTTTAAGGTGTGCTTGTTTCAGATTGTTTTAGAAAACGTAACGCCTCAACCAGAGTTCCTTCCGCCACATGTGCTCGTGTTAGTGGACATGACGAAGAGATATAAGGCTATAGAGAGCCTAGCCAAGCACAAGACCGCCGTAATACACGTAAATCATCTTCTTCTTTCTTTTATCTTGTCTGCTGAACATGGGTGACCGCACAATTCTCATTTCAAGCAGGCCTTGCTGTAAACACCACATCTTCACATCATCATATTATCATTGGTATGAATAACGAACACAGAACAGAATAGAATAGAATAAAATCATTTTTATTCAGTACTAGCTGGAACCCTTATAAACCCCCAATAATATTTTATACAATTCTTATGAAAATATTTAGAAACAGCATGGTAGTGATCACCTCATTGCCAGAGGTTATTATAAATCATGTACTCTTTAGTAGTATAAAAACCCTTACTAAACAATTTTTGTAAGACAAAAAATTTAAACATTGATAAATAAGTCCTGCATATTTTCTGTAACTGTGTTGCAAAAACGTATATATGTGTGAAGGAATTACTGACTCTTTGGAGATGAGTAACTAACTTGTGCCTATTCGCAGTATTTACAGAATGTACATCACGATTTTTAATAAAACTATTTTTGTTTTTGTGTACATACATAAAATTTTCGTAAACGTACTGACAGAGCAAAGTTAATATATTTATTTCTCAAATTTTTTCACATTACTATACGTTCGCATCCTTACATCTTTCAAAAGTTATTTGTTATTTTTATAGATAATTTGCCGTATACTGTCGGCGTAGGTCGGCGTAATGGAATAATGTTTTTTTTCGTGTAATATTATACAAAAAAAGGTTACCCTCATTTTACCTTCTATGTGTTAAAGTTTTGATACAAAGTCGATTTTTAACATATTTTTTATTTCTACAATTTTAACACATTTTGAAACAACACTATGTGTGTTAAAGAATAAGGCGCAAATACGTGAAATTAATAGATCTTAAATTTTAATATTTAACATCTACCTACATCGCACATTTATTTGTAAAGAGGTTTTTTTTGACAATTGATTGGACTAGTTACTTGTCTAAAGACCACTATTTATAGACTTGCAGGGTTTTCATAATGATTTCAATTTGCAGGGTTTTATTGTTTAAGTTCCACGCAGACGAAGTAGCGAGTAAAAGCTACAAATAAATAAAATAAATGGAAATGTATATGACATAATATATCATGCGTTTATCGCTTTAGTTAATTGTATAGTGGTAGCACGAATGGGTCGGCTCGACTGGTGATGGAACACGCTCTCACAGAATACCAGCGGTAAAATAGCAGCTTAATGCTGCTGTGTTTCGTATGTGAGTGTAGAGAACCGGAGACTTTTTTTACTGGAAAAGAGGCATTCCATCAAAGAGGACTAACCTCACGGCTAAGATTCTGCATTTTGATTCGCATACGAGGATAGATGTTGATGATAGACATCGTATTTAATCAAAGATTGTATTAAAAGAAAGTTCTCACGCTAGGATTTTATTGAGCGATATTTACCCGCGCCCGCAGCGACAGCGGGACTGCGATACGCAAAGAATGTATAAGGAATGTAAGAAATGTTGGTATTTTACCATAGTAATATTCTTTTTTTTTATAAAATAAGGATGACAAACGACCACACAGTCCACTTAATGGTAAGTAGATGCTGTGGACCATAGACATCTTCATAATACATCTACATACATTACATACATCATTAGACATTCATCCCTGAAGACTAAGATGGTATGCCTCGTTTGCAGTAAAAAAGGGTCTCCAGTTCTCTACACTCACCATACGAAACATCAGCTTTAGCTTTTTAAAAAATTATAATATTTGAAAAAAAAAAGAGCGCATATTTGAAATACTCGAATAAATTCTTAATCGTATAGATTTTTAAAATACTTTATAATAATCGAGATAAGAAAATATAATTTAATCACCCGGAAATAACTTTTAGACGTTATAGTTCTCGTTTTTTAAGGCGTTAACGTAAGCCTCCCTCTCTATTGAAATTGGCTGGAGGGAGGGTACTACCACCTGCTTGGGATCCTGTAATTAGTAAAATTAAAACTAAATCCAAGCATACCACTGCTAGACTTCAAGATACAATAAGTTCATTCTGCTTAGATCGGACCAAAATTAATAATTAAAAAAGCTGAAGGTAATGGCGACGATGCGAAAGTTCTATTCGAATCCATGGCCTACGTAGTATAATAAGTATTAAGTAACGTTATATGAGTAAGTCATGTATATTAGGGTATGATGGGACTGACATACCCTAAGCGGTAAATGTCCCTTAAATTATAATAGAATAAAAAGAAAGAAAAAAAAAGCTGAAGGTACTCGAAATTAACTCATCGGGACGTCAATCACCTCAGTCCATCGTCACCATGGGTGCTGGAAAGCACCCGAAACGCCGGGAATTAATAAAAATAAGCAAAATAAGTTAATTAAACGCGATAAAATCCGTAAAAGTAGTTTTATTCAATGTGTAGTGTTTGCGTAAATATAAGAAATCATACTGAGCAAAAATGTTTAAAATAAAGTAACTTTTTCGCCACTGAATGTCGAACGATTTTTAAAGAAAACGAGACATCTTAGTCCTCAGGGGTGACAACGCGTCTGCATTTATGATTCTTAATCACGTAAAGATGTCTTCGAGTCACAGCATCCACTTACTATCAGGTGGCCTGAGTGCTCGTTTGTTACCTTAATTCTATAGAAAAATCGTAAATGATCCATCCACCTTGCGACCGCCTGACTTTCGATTATCTCTCGCCGTATACGCGGGAGATGATCGAAGGCGGGCAGGAATCCGCACAAAATTACTATCTTGTGAGTTTTCGATTAAAATATTATTCAAATAAAAATAACCATTTACGTTGTAAAATTTATTTAAAAAAAATACCCGCTGGGTTTCTTGTTGGTTCTTCCCAGGACAGAGGATTTTTTCGAACCAGTGGTAAAATAAAAAATGACTTTCAATAATAATTACTTGTAATCAATATTGAATAAAAAATTATTCTATTCTTTTCTAAAATCGCTGTTCCTCTACCGGTTCGGGTGCGGGTAAATATCTCTCCGTGATTACTCAGCCTTAAGCTTCGTATGTATTTTCAGATGGGTATATTCAAAGCGACTACTCCGTACTGTGCCGTCCATGTTGCATACGGAGTGAAACATTTTGATTCACTGAAATTATCCATAGACTTGTGAGTAGTTTTGCTTTTGTTGTTGTCTACATCTTTGCCCCTGAGGTGTCATGGGCTGGATTTAGGTACTTTTATTTTATATTAATAATTATATTGGCATAATATTTAAATACTGATCTACCGACTGTAAGAGAGTTGTCACACGATGCGTTGTGACGTTGGTGAGTTGGAGCGCGATTTTGCAGAGTCCTTCATAGTGTAGAGTACGTTGTATTGTCTAACGCAGTGGCATAGCATGGGTTGCTGGTGCCCGGGGTTGCTAGAGCCAAAATTACCGCACCTCCATCCTCCCCCTATTTCGCAAGTCTCTAAAATATATAATCAGTATGTCTTTTAAGTCTTTGTATTTTCTTTTATAGAATAAGGGTGACAAACGAACACATAGTCCACCTGATGGTAAGTGGTTGCTGTGGCTTATAGACATCTACATCTATCTTTGTTTTCGAATTAAAATGCAGATGCGTTGTCAGCCGTGAGGACTAAGATAGAGTACCTCTTTTCCAGTAAAAAGGTCTCCGGTTCTCTACACTCACCATACGAAACACAGCAGCATTAAACTACTAATTTACGCTGGTATTCTGTAAGAGCGTGGTCCTTCCCCGGTAGAGCCAATCCATTCGAGCTACAACTATACTATTAATATATGTTGCAGCATGGCTTTACCACGTAAAAAACGTTACCACGTTTTATTTAAGCATGAAGCAAACAATAAAATGCACTTTAAACGCCCCCTAAATCTGTCACCCGTCATTGCGAATCGTGATCGGCAATCTTTCGTGATAACAATGCTTGATGAAAAGTTGGAGTTTGGATTTAGAATCGTTTGGCAGGAATTTGGAGGAGCAAGGTGTTGTAATTGGTAGAGGTTTGGTCCCAGGTTATAAAATAGCACTCGCATTAAAAGATAATGTACTCTTTTCGAGAAAAAATACCTATTATAACCTAAAAATAGGTTAAACGTGGAAAAACTAATGCAATATTACTGTGAAAGCTGGATAGCATGTATAATTTTGTGTAAGTGCGACAAGGACGTAAGATCATGTCAAAGACTAGTGTCACATTATTATATTTCTATGGTATTTTATTCTCCTGTGGTGTATACTCTTTTAATAAACTATGTTTACATACAATAAATAAATGATTATTACATACTTTACATCTAAAACTCCTTTCAGTTGACTTAGGTTAGAAGCGCTGCGCTTCACTCCCGCCACAGTCTTCCTCGTTATTTTTTTTGCCGCCCAGAAACACTTGAGCACCTAGAAATACTTTCAGTTGAGTTAGGGTTGCTCTTCTTTTAAGACTTCTTTTACTTCTTAGGAATCCGTCTTTGTAAGTGCCACCCTTTTGCCTATTTCTGCCGCCAAACGGCAGTTCTCTGAGGAATTGTTCGGACTAGTTCCAGCCGCACAATTTCACCATCGCACATCGCGACATAACTCCCTGCTTTAGTGGCTTCTTACTTCGACCGCCGTCCCACATAACCGTCAGAAACTGTAGCAGTGTTCCGGACTCGCCTGCTCAATTGCTTTTTTGTAGCGTGCAGACGGGCACTAGCGTCTCCAGCTGGTTTCTCGTAAAGAACTTAAATCTATCTCTATATAAAAGTTACAGCCTATATACGTCCCCCTGCTGGGAACAGGCCTCTTCTCATTTCTGAGAGGGTTTTAGGGCAAGGAAAAGTCCGCCACGTTGTCGCAATGCGTGTTGGCGAACTTCACATGTCTTCTAAATATTAGTTTTTTTTTAGTTTATTTCTCAGACATGCAGGTTTCCTAATGATATTTTCCTTCACCGCCGAGCACGTGGTGAATCAGTACTTAAAATTGCAATTAACAATTTTATTGGTGCCGGCGGGGATCGAACTCGCGTACTGTAAAATGTACAGCGAGCGCTTAGGCCCTAATGGACTAATTATTTCTTTTACATTTTTTTAACAGTGGTAGAGCCACGCGGCAGCGTTTGCTGACGCACGAATAGGACGGCTCGAACCGGGGTGGTACCACGACCTCACAGAATACCAGCGTGAAGTAGAGGTTTACCTTTGCGTCTCGCTTGGTGAGTGCAGGTGGCCGGAGGCCCTTTTTACTGGGAATGAGGCATTCCATCTTAGTCCTCACGGGCGACAACGCATCTACATTTTGATTTGTAATAGAGGATAGATGGGCCGCAGCAACTATTTACCATCAGGTGGACTGTGTGCTCGTTTGTCACCTTTATCCTATAAAAAAAAAATTATAATGTCATCCAGACCAAATTTTGGTACGGTCAGTCTCAAAAGAAACTAGCCATCTACGCAAGACAGGATTATAGTGCACGTGTGTGTATGTAACTGGTGTACTATATATTATCTCACTGTTACATTCAGATCGAAGCGGTAATTCGATACACAGAACTAAAAAGGCTGATAAACAAGTAACAACACTTTGAAATACTTTAATAAACAGTGTAGAATGTTTTAACTTTACAGAGATGACCTGAAACTAGCGTTTATGCTATCTATAAAAGTGGATCTGCCGTTATTGGAACTGATGGGTTTGAACCCATATCACGTTAGTCGCGACTCAGAAGCAGGCGAGGACGAATGCGCTGCCATGTTTCCGGTAAATTATGGTGATGCGTACCCAGAGTTTGAGGATTTCGATTAAATTGTCTGAAATGTATTTAGAAACAGATTAAAAAATAATGTACTATCTATATTAATTAAAAATGAAACAAATACTCTGATATTTTTTAATCAAATTAAATTACTTGTATTAACCGTTTTTGTCAGATATGGGATCCGAAGCATCACACCGATTGAAGCTCAAGCCATAACCGTACTCCATTCTATTGTAAAGGAATTATTTTTTTAGCGTTTTTAGACCCTAATCACTTAATTAAGGAGTGACAAACGTAAGTTCCCAGCAATTATGATAAAGGAAACCGGCAAAAAATAAGAAGGACAGGTGTAAACAGCTCTCAATACTACCCGCTGTCATTTCTCGGATCTCGGGCTAGGATTGGGCTAATGTACCTAAAGCCCACAGGTGGAAGGTATTGCTGTTGCTTTGAAATAACAGTTACCAGTAGCCTATTCCAAGAGAAGCTGATATCTCGCAATAAGTTTAAAGTCTTTAAATTGCACCAATCCTTGTTACATCAGTCCTATTTTCGTTAATGTTGTTGTGTAATTGCTATGTTATACATTGAAGTTATTAGTTAGCTTTATTTGTGCTGTTGTCGGTGATATCTTGACTTAGCTTATATGCTGCTGTTTAAAAGCTGCTATTTTATGCTGGTATTCTGTGAGAACGCGATCCTTCCCCGGTCGAGCTAACACATCCATTGTTAACTCCAACCTGTGTTTACAAGACATTTTATTCTGTGTCCATCGTTTCTAGTCTGGATGTATGAACGAACATCCCGACTAGAAACGGGCAGCGTTAAATGTACAATACGTTCTGCAATGCGATCACCAATAAATCTGCCCAGCCTGACCATTATATCAAATTCTCTCTTCTGTGGAAGACGTACATATGGAGAGAGAGAAATAATACGAAAGTATAATTGAAATATTTTTTTTATTATTCATAATATGTTTAAGATACGAAATTCTTAAGATTTACAAGTTTTATAACAAAATCACTTAAAATATGTAATCATACGTACTTATAAGGTAAATTATTTGTATGACTGCATTCCATCGGTTCTATTTGCCTCATGCAGAAAATAACGCCATATATACTTTCGTAAATAAGAAGTTTGTTCTTTCACTGCCTCCAGTATCTTTTGGTTTATAGCCAAAAGTCTCTCGTCCACCATAACGTATCGTTGTTTAATAAGATTTTTGGGACCATCTTTTACGCATGGTATTCCTTCTAAAGAATGTCCTGTAACCTGTGGATAATTGACGGCAGGGTGCATTTTTGAGTATCCATTATTATAGTCACTGAGAACAGTTTGCAACCAGTCGCAGGACAATTTGTTACCATCAAGCAACACAGTAAGATCGTTTTTGTGACTGACCCAAGCGTTACATTCTAAACTTTCCATACCATTGTATCTTATTGAGAGAAACCTGAGAAATTTCAGATCTAAAAGAACTTTGGAGTTGAGGCCATTAATCATGTTAAACGATAGATCTAAGTTTAGAAGAGATGTTAGTCCCCGGAATGCACCGTATTCTATATTTGTCAAATAATTATGGGCCAGTCTTAGAGTGCGTAAATTTGTCACCCTATAAAATGTAGAAGGGCTGATGTTTTGAACTCTGTTTGAACTCAAATCAAGAAATATGAGTGTAACAGGAAGTTGTAAAGACGATTCGTTCAAGTCTGTAATGATGTTTTTACTCAAGTCTAATTTCGTGAGATTACGAAGATGCTTTAGTTGTATTTGGGAAGCATCTGATATATTATTAGAATGAAGTATTAATTCAATGAGACCATTTGCTTCGCCCGGTGAAATATTGAACGTTGACAGAGTATTGTTTGATAAATCTAGTATTCCTCCTGACGTATGGAAGGTAACATGAAAGCCTATAACTTGAGTTATACCATTATAAGTCATATTTAATTGTTTTAAATTATTGGTATGGCTCAAGCTTTGATCGGGGACGTACTCAAATCGATTGTTAGATAAATCAAGGTTTTGTAAATTATTCATATGGGAGAAAGTTGTAAAATCCAAGCTTGTTATAAAGTTACTACTCAGATTTAAGAATCTAATGTTTTCCAAATCTGTAATGTTAACTACAAAATTGCTTAATCTGTTATGGGAAACATCTAAATTTATTATATTTGCAACATATTGAAAACTATTATATTCAATGCGTTCTATGAAATTATGTGATAAATCAAGTTCAGTTTTCAATCCATCAATGCGATGTTTATCAATTCTTTCTTTAAGTTCCTTCGAAGTCGCGTTTTTAATAAAAGTTATTTGGTTTCCAGAAAGTATAATCCTACATTGTAAATGACCTCCAAAATGATCCCAATGTCTATATAGAAGTTTTGGTATTAACTTGTTTAATTTATTATTGGAGATCTCGAATGTTTCCAAATGATATATTTTATCTAGTGATTTGTCATCGATGTTCTTTATCTCATTGTTGTTAAGAAACAGATGTTTTAAATTTAGAAGTTTCTTATTTATAGCGCCATTCAAATATTTTATAAAGTTATTGTTAAGTTTAAGCGTCTCCAGATTTGTCAAATTCGAAAAAGGTTCCTCGTTTAAGTCTTCTATTAAATTGTTCGAAAGATCAAGTTCTATTAGGCTTGTGAGTTCTTGAAAGACAAAACCAGGTATTTCACGAATTTTGTTGTAAGCTAAGTAAAGTTTTTTTATTTTATTTGAGTACTCAAATATGAATAATTCCTCAATTTCAGATAATTCATTATGTGACAAATCGAGTGTCTCTAAGCGGCTAAGATACTGGAAAGGACTACCATGTATTTGTTTTATTTGCATATTACGAAGATCCAGATTCCTCAATCTCACTGTGTATTCAAGGAAAGCAAGGTTTGTTTGTGGCCATGTGCCGAGTACCTTTAATGAGGTTATGCTAGTTAAAAATTCAGTATCAGTCACGTTCACGTGAAAGCCATCGTAGGCGTCCTGGAGTGTAAGATCTACCATTACATCCTTATTGCTAGCACCTTGACATTCTTGGCTTAGAGTGGCCCCTTTAATTGTGTTAAAACATTTAATTCGATATGCACAAGAACCAAGATGACGGTACTCATCTTTGGGACAGTAACCAGCAATCAGCGAAGCTGAGAGGAGAAGTAGAAGACCAGTCGTTACTGAAAAGAAAAAAAGCGGTATTACGTATACGTTTAATGGTATCAATTTACTTTCTTGTGTTTTGCAAGTTACGGTGGTGACAGAAAAGTGGAATCATGCGATGATTTTTAAAGCACTCATGAAATTATTGAAGTTTACTGCTTTAATAAGTTCATTTAGTACGCCACCGGTAGGTGGAGTTACAATATGGTAAAACATGCAGGAAGTTTGATGGATGCAGGTGGCTCAGACTTGTGCTTGATGGGGGGGGGGGGTCTATGTTCTGCAGTGGAATTGTGATGTGCTGTAATGATTATCTATATGTGTAGTATTCCTACATCTATCAAAAGGTTAAGAATCAAATAAATTCATATTATATGAATCCCAATTTCTAAATTTTAGATGAAAAGTTAAATTTGATTATGATTTTAAAGTATAGGCAAATATGATATATACGAGCATGCCGGAACGTACTGGGTTCACGACACGTTTCTGAAAAGCTCACCATTGACTAAATGTCTTTCTAAAAAGTAAGTATTAATAAATATTTTCAATAATATTGTCAGTTTTATTTAAATATATAAAACAGTGGTAGAGCCACGCGGCAGCTTTTGCTGTCGCACGGATGGGCCGGCTCGAACCGGGGTGGTACCACGACCTCACAGAAAACCAGCGTGAAGTAGAGGTTTACCTCTGCGTTTCGCTTGGTGAGTGCAGGTGGCCGGAGGCCCTTTTTGCTGGAAATGAGGCATTCCATCTTAGTCCTCACGGGTGACAACGCATCTACATTTTGATTTTTAATAGAGAATAGATGTAGATGTCTATGGGCCGTAGCAACCACTTACCATCAGGTGGACTGTGTGCTCGTGTGTCACCCTTATCCTATAAAAAAAAAACAATTAAAATGTTTATTTTAAACTTATTCCTATCCTTGGCAAGTGCGGGTGCAAATAATATTTATTTTCTGAACTTGCAATGCTACAGTATTCATAATATAATTATCTAAAATAAAATTTTCAAATATTTTGAGATTATTAGCCGACTTGAAAGAAAAAGGAGGTTAACAATTCGACTGTTTGTTTTAACAAAGAGTACTCGATTTTGACCTGAATATGAAGCTTAAAATATTCCAAAACCTTAATCGGGTATATGATCATAAATTTGCATTAGAAGCCCTGGGATTAAGTTAAAACAAAAAGCGTACTCGAACCAAGAGTTCTGTTCCATTAATTAAAGATTGGATTTTGCCCGCGGCTCCACTCCTATTTGATTAAAAGCTGATAAATTGTCTTATCACTTAAATTGTTTTGACTAAAATTTTGTACCACCGACTTCAATATAAATTCAAAAACTACTGGTCAGACCTTGACTAAATTTATATGGGACTACATGATAAGCACCAGCTTTGAAATAAAAAAAAACATCAAAATCGAACACCTAGAAAAATGACACATAAATAAATACAGTCGAATTAAGTACATCCTCATTTTTTAAGTCGGTTATTTTGGCCTTTTATAATGTAATTAATGGATATAAGTCTGAATTGTAACTTATAAAGCGATAGATAGCTTTTACAGTTCTATAATTCTGTCTGTTATAGCGGGTTTAGACTTTCGCCTTGCATCTCGCCTCGTACCTCGCCTCGCAGCTCGCGTGTTGTTGCGAGGTAACGAGTGCCTGTTTACACTCTTGCGATGCGTTCAGTTTGCGTTGAGCCAGCGACGATGAAAGACGTCGAAATAATAGCGGCATCAACTATTGCATTAATAAGTATTTTCGATGCTTGACCATTTTAAAAAGAAGGAAATTAAAAAAAAAATACCTCGTTGAGGAAGAATATGGTGGATGATATCTATTCATCGAAACAGAACCTTTTTAG